GATTATTTTTTCTTTGTATTCGAATCTTGAGTATTTAAAGTTTGCATGTTTTTAGTTGGAATATTAAAAAAGTATTCATATTTAAATATTTTTTCTTTGCATTCGAATCTTGAGTATTTAAAGTTTGCATGTTTTTAGTTGGAATATTAAAAAAGTATTCATATTTAAATAAATATCGGTATTCGATTATTTTTTCTTTGTATTCGAATCTTGAGTATTTAAAGTTTGCATGTTTTTAGTTGGAATATTAAAAAAGTATTCATATTTAAATAAATATCGATATTCGATTATTTTTTCTTTGTATTCGAATCTTGAGTATTTAAAGTTTGCATGTTTTTAGTTGGAATATTAAAAAAGTATTCATATTTAAATAAATATCGGTATTCGATGATTTTTTCTTTCTATTCAAATCTTGAGTATTTAAAGTTTGCATGTTTGCATAGTTGGAATATTAAAAAAGTATTAATATTTAAATAAATATCGGTATTCGATTATTTTTTCTTTGTATTCGAATCTTGAGTATTTAAAGTTTGCATGTTTTTAGTTGGAATCTTAAAAAAGTATTCATATTTAAATAAATATCGATATTCGATTATTTTTTCTTTGTATTCGAATCTTGAGTATTTAAAGTTTGCATGGTTTTAGTTGGAATATTAAAAAAGTATTCATAATTAAATAAATATCGGTATTCGATTATTTTTTCTTTGTATTCGAATCTTGAGTATTTAAAGTTTGCATGTTTTTAGTTGGAATATTAAAAAAGTATTCATTTTTAAATAAAAAACGGTATTCGATTATTTTTTCTTTGCATTCGAATTTTGAGTATTTAAAGTTTGCATGTTTTTAATTAGAATATTAAAAAAGGATTCATATTTAAATAAATATCGGTATTCGATTATTTTTTCTTTGTATTCGAATTTTGACTATTTAAAGTTTGCATGTTTTTAGTTGGAATATTAAAAAAGTATTTAAATAAATATCGATATTCGATTATTTTTTTTTGTATTCGAATCTTGAGTATTTAAAGTTTGCATGTTTTTAGTTGGAATATTAAAAAAGTATCCATATTTAAATAAATATCGGTATTCGATTATTTTTTCTTTGTATTCGAATCTTGAGTATTTAAAGTTTGCATGTTTTTAGTTGGAATATTAAAAAAGTATTCATATTTAAATAAATATCGGTATTCGATCATTTTTTCTTTGTATTCGAATCGTGAGTATTCGAATACAATTTAAAATACAGTATTCAGGATTCGTATTCGAATACCGGATTCCAGTATTCCTCTTGATCATCCTGGCAGAAAGTCTGTATCTCGAAGGAATTTGTTCCGTTGAGCTCTTCTCAGCGAATTTGCATAATATAAGTAGAAATAAGTTGTCATTAGGAAATATGACCTCAACACACAGTTGTGTTACGAATAATATATGACATCGTTACTACAATAGTCAATAATACACGACCAAAAACATGAATCATGCATCATTCTTTACGTTTTTATGGATTTAATGCTACGTAATCTATTGGAAAACAATTTCAAGATATGTACTATGGAGGAGACACCTTGGAAGGTCTACGCTAGAAAAGAGCCGAATGTTTTGAACGCTTTAAAAAATGCTATAGTTATTAGTATAACATATTACTCCCAAATCAATTCAACAAAATAATATATTCAAGTATATTCAGTATGCTGTGCTTCTAGATGCATTCACCGTTCGATCTGCAAAAACGTGTCGTTAGAACGAGTATTATTGTTTTACTTCTTGACAATCGAGAGTGGCTGCGACGAATCCCTGTGAACGAGTCGATGCTGTCAATGACACCGCACACGTTGATGCTACCACCAGTTTAATGATTAGGTGCGGCATTCGGCTTGGACTACGATACCGGCCATTGTCAAGGATAATACGACCGCATCTCATTATTTAAATATACGAGTTTTATAGATTATTGTTTTATGGGGTCATGGGGACTGTGATATGCTCCAGGCGGATCGTGTAAGAAGCTATATTGGAGCTAAAAACAATAAAGCATTGATCCTTTCCAGACATAACTCGTAAAGCAAAGCTATGCAGGGCCTACGAATATACCTCGGTGATCTTTGGGCGTAATCCAATCAATGGAATCTCGCGTTAACATTTTAATCACTTTCTATTTCTCAGTACATCTAAAACTTGTGAAAGTGTGCTAGTCAGTGTTGCATTTTCTATGTCATTCAGTATATTTATTTTCGGAGATCAAACTGAAACTGGAAACTTGCATTAAGCGCATATTAAAAAACTCCAAAACCTACTTTGACCTTCTAAAGTTGAATCATCTGGATAGCACGGTAAGTTCGAGCAGTACCAGCATTATGTTGTTCATATGGGCAACGACTTGGCCGGCCTGTGTCGGCGACCTATCTCGAATAAATAACAGGACAGCAACCGGTACGACTCATCCAAGAACCACTCGCGCTAGGACTTTGCGGGTGCTACTTCAGAGTACCAACGAACACTTGGTTCTTTGCGCGGTCCTCGAATGCTTCGGGTGCGATAGTGCTTTGCTTGGCTATATCAATATATGTGATACGAGGTGTTTTTTAAAAGTGAATTAAGCTCAAGGTACGTGCTTCCAAAATCACGTCGAAAAATCGAGACGTGTCAGTCATTTTTAGGAACTTTAAAGCTTCTTACAGTTATCATATATTTATTGCGTTAAAAAATGTTTAGGAGAAATTGGGCTTACCACAGGATCAACAGTTATCCCCTTTTGTTAGACCCTATGTTTCTTGCAAAGCGATAGTGCCCTTTTACAAGACCTTTGTGCCTGATGCGAGCCCTAGACTCTCTACAGTATGGCTCTGGACTTGTTAGGCAATTCAACTTTAACGCTGCTTTGTTTTCATTAAAAATCATCAAATAGCACGCCCAATTACCCAAAATATTTTGTCTTCTTATGTACTAAACAACCTGTATACAGAATATTAATAAAAAGCCGGGCCAAACACAAAGCACTGAACATCTGGTGCTTTTATGTACTAGATACCAGATGTAAACATTACTGCTCAAGAAAATAAAATCTGTATTTATGTACTTAGGCCGTATATTAATTACTGTTGTAATAAAATTAGCGGATAAATATAAGCTAAAAATTGCTAAATCTATAGAATATCCACTACGAGCAGTGATTCATGCTACTGTTCATCCTGTGCCAGGTCCTCTTTCTACTACTCTTCCTAATAGTAAAAATCTTAAAGGAGGTAAAAGTCAAAATATTATTTATTCAAGGAAAATGATATCTCAGGAGCTCATAATATCGGTGATACTAATCAATTTCCAGTATAGTAGGTTAGTTATTTTAAAAAGTAATAAGATCCTAAGTTTGGGCACTCGGCATTTCCCAAAAACTACTAAGAGTCAATATTATTTCTGATTTCATAATGTGCTATGCGTTTTCAGTTTTTGAGAAATTCGAAACGTTTTTAGTGAAGTCAAAAATTGAAAAATCCTTTTTTTTGTTTTGGACGTTTCACAGGTTTCTTAATATTCCAAGTAGTAGTGAAAAAGATTGTTTAAGAACTAAATTTTTTTTTGAAAAGCATTTTTTTTCAAAATCTCGAAAGCCCTGTTTTTATGTTTTAAAAATGTTAGGAGACATAACAGTTGTTTATTCCGTATATAAACATTTTACTGGGATCCAGTTATTCAAAAAAACATATTTTTGAAATACCGCATGTAAACATTTTCTTGACGCAGAATAAGTAATCTGTGGCCCTAATTTTTTTTTTAAAATCCTATTTTTGAAACCTAGTAATAGTTATACAGGATGTTTCCTAATTAAATATTGATAATCAAGGGGACAATTTTTGGATCCACTTTAAAAAAAATTTCATATGAATATACAGGGTGACTTTGAAGTTGAGTCATTAATTTTCAGATAATGATTGTAGAAGGAAGATAAACCAAAATATGTGTGTAAAAATAAAAAAAAATAAAAAAAAAATTACCTTGTTTTATAAAGTATCCTCCCGACAAGTATTTCAGTGCGGACCTGTATTTGATCGTGAGGTCTTGGAGCACCGGCATGCCGTCCCCTGTGAGGTCTTAAGTCACCTGATTCACGAGCCCGTTGTACTACATTAACAAAGGCACGAGGGGTTGGTTGCACTCGATTGGGAAACCGATCCGCATAAACATTTGCCATTTTTTATTTCGTTTGAGCCACGCAACAGACACCACTATTCACTCACGCGTTACCGACTGACACTGACTGTATACAACTGAATAAAATAATTGTAAAAACATCGTTCCAAATTCTTTCGCTTTTTTGTTTCCGATGCGATGAACCGATAAGGCGGATTATATCCGTTGTTGCCAAACACGAGCACATAATATTATTATTGAGACAGGGCGGCTCTCAAACTTCCAAAGGGCTATAACCTTGTTACTTTAATTTTACCAGAAAAATGGTAAAGGAAAAAAACATTTCTTTTGATCAGATCTACTCACTGTTAAAATAAATGACTCAACTTCTAAGTCACCCTGTATAAACATCTTAAGTTTTGAGATAAAAGATGGATTTTTTTGAAATTAAAAAATTTTAAATTTTTATTTATTATATTTATTATACACTTGCACCCAAGAATATAAAATATATTTCTGTGCAATGATGATATTGTCATATGAATGATATTATAATGATTATGCAGAGAAAGGGTCTTTATTTATTGAACGAAAACCGAGCGAAAAACATGCATTCAAATTTGCTTAGAAATGATTGGAGATTTCAGGAATAATTTTTACTTTAAAAGAAATTAGTAGCGTACCATGAATGTCTCCAAAAATAGTACATTAAAAAACATTAATGATGTATGCCAAATATGAGGTTTTCTTCTTAATTGACATTCACCCTGTAAGTTCATTTTGACCGTTAATAATTGCCAAGTTTGAACCTATCCACAGAATATTGGCAACACCTCATTGCCAATAACAACAATCGCAAATCGAGCCTTGTCGTATGTCACAGTTAAAAAATAATCATTGCTATCACTATCGGCATCGTAGATATTTTTAATTTTCCGCCTAAGGTCTGACCCAGACGTGCGTTGAATTTGAATGCATTTGAATCGCATCAATATTTTTCAGGCGATTTCGTTGACCGTTGCTTCAGTTGGTCAGTGGCATTCGTATACTGAAGACATGCACCCACAATAATTGGAAACGTTGAATTTATGTAGCCTGTCTGGCTTTGTGAACGTGATCTAACATGACGCTACGCGTAACGGTGAGTACTTTTAACGAGTGTTTGAATTTTGGATTTCTGACATTTTTCAGGTTTTCTACGAACCGGAAATTATATTATACGCTATAAATTCGGTCGATTTCTTAATTTTCCAGATTATATTTCTCAGTTTCAACAATTTTTAAATTTTCCAATTTCAAAGTTTTTACGCTATAAGTTAGCAGATCCGCGAGCGTTTCAAATGAGAAATACATTGAGTTGAGATAAACTAAAGGGCTTTGGGCAGTACCTAAACTAAAAGTTCTAGATTTTATCTGCATCAAAAAGTTTCATTACGCGACAACATTCCATCACTTGACATTATAAAATCTGGGGAACCGCAAGGTTCTGTTATAGGGCCACAACTATTCACATTAAACACCTCAAATTTAAGCAACGTTTGTTTATACAAAGAAAATTTCATAAAAAATTCGGTGGTTACTGATCTCTTGGAAATAGTGTTTGATCTTTGAATAATTCTTCTAGAAAACCACCATTTATCAATTCGAGAATACACTTATCATCGTTTAAAATATCATCATGGCCAATAAAATCCATTTTTGGAGATTGAAAATGAATAAGGTGATCGTTAAATGCCAAAAATTGACCATTAAACACAGCTTGTATAATTTTAATGATAATGATGATAATGATAATAATGATAACGATAATGATGGTAACGATGATAACGATGATGACGATGATGATAACGATGATAACGATAATAATGATGATACCGATAATGATAATAATGATAATGATGATAATGATAATAATAATAATGATAATAATAATAATATTTATTCACTCAATGTACAAAGATAACAAACAATATGAGTAAATAAATATAAAATCAAAACAGGCCCAATAGAAGGCATCGCCTGTACATGGACCAATAAATTTAAGTTGAAACTGTAGAATGCAAATGACAAAAAAGGACAAAAATTAGCTACAGTAGATTATGTATTTAGTTGATGTTCGTATTTATGAGTTTATGAATTTCAGTCCTAGATATAGAATGTAGCCACTTTTTTTAAATTTCTTTTGAAACAATTTCCGAAACGTAAATCTTTCAAGTCTTTAGGTATAATTTCATCAAATTTAGGCGCTAAATAGAGATATGATCGCTGCATTATAGACTTATGCGGTTGAGGAACTACTGTGCCACGAATTTTGTACCTGGTATAATGATTATGTTTAATTTTTTGGTCGGTGTTTACAAATTTATGGTAGTGAGTGATACTGTGTAAGAAATAAAGCTGTCTTATATCATACATTCGAACATCTGCGTATAATTTTTCAGTGGGATAAAGTTTCGGTTTTTTAAATATCATTTTTAGAATACTTTTTTGAAAAACATCTAAATTATAGATATGTGAGGAACATGCAGTTCCCCATGCTAATATAGTATATGTGAGATGAGGCGCTCAATCAGTGCATGGTATAATGTTCGAAAATATTTTTCTGTCAATATATTCCCAAGGTATTTAATTTTGTAGGATACAAATCTAACTTTCTTTAAAATATAATTGACATGGATGTCCTATCGTAAGCAAGGATCCAAGACCACTCCAAGGTATTTTATGTTGGGCACTCTATTAATTTGCATTTTTTGATCATTAATATTGAAGGAGAAATTTGTGTAATTTGGCAGATGTCTAGCATAAGATCCAAATGGTAAAAAATGTGTTTTAGAGTAGTTAATGCTTAATTTTCTACTGTTAAACCACCGAATAATTTTGATAAAATCATTTTCAATTACATTTTTCAGACCAGTCAGTGCCTTCATATAATATTGCAGTATCATCTGCAAAACTAGTTATTTTGCCAACACAATTAATTTGGAAAATATCATTTAAATATATATTGAATAACAGCGGACCTAAGACAGTTCCTTGTGGGACACCACACTTAATATACATTTCTTTACTAAATGATCCTGATATCTGCACAGATTGTGGGCGATTTGACAAATAACTTTCGATCAGTGAGTACGCGTTCCTCTGAAACCAATTCTCTCCAATGCATCTAATAATAATTTGTGATTAACTGAATCGAAAGCTTTCTTTAAATCAACAAAAATGCAGATTGAAGGGATTCTGTTATCAATATTTTGATGTATTTGATTTACAATTTTAGTTATTGCGTCCGATGTAGCCTTCCCTTCTGTAAATCCATATTGATTTTCACTTAAAATTTTGAATTTTGTGAGGTATCGAATCATTCTAGTAGATAAAACTTTTTCAAAAACCTTTGCTACACTGGATATTATTGATATTGGTCTATAGTTGTTAACATCTGTTTTTGTTCCTGATTTATGTATCGGTATTATATTACCTTTTTTTTAAAATTGAGGGATATATGCCAGATTCAAAGTATTTGTTGATTAGGTAAGTGAGTGGTTCTGTTATGTCCTCGGCTATAATTTTAAAATGATAATACTGATAATAATGATAATAATGATAATGATGATAATGATAATGATGATAATGATGATAATGATAATGATAGCGTAATGATAACGATAACGATAACGATAAAGATAATGGTAACGATAAAATAACGATAACGGTAACGATAACGATGATAATGATGAAAATAAAAATGATAATGATAATGAAAGGTTTCACCGCCTAACGGTATACAGTTTGTAAAATTTTGAAATTTTGAGAATAAGACAATTTTGAATACTAGGAATTCGTCAAGATGTTACTAAAAATGTCTCAAAGCGAATATTTTTCCGCAGCTATTCCTGATAGTGTTATCACTATGTGCAAATATATTGCATACGAAGATAATCAGAGAAAAAAGAAACGCAGCCGGAAATGGTACTGTGCAAGAATCTCCTTCGTTCATCAGAGATTCCGTAGAGGGCGCACCGAATGACAAGCAATGGCGGATGGAGGACAATACCACTGTGACGTCATCAAAAGAAGAATTCGGATCGAAAAGTCTGCCGTTGAGGGCTGCCGTCGAAAGCATTCCTGATTTGTAAGTGACGCTTCTTCTCGATTTGATCTAGAACTTCGAGATTAAGCGAGATGTCATCTCGAGGTTCTAGACTCTGTAGTTCCGTTGTTCGTCGATAGACAGCGATGCTAGTTGATCTCGTTTGGGGCGGTTAGGGTAGTGTCCGGAAATCAGGGGAACATAAAATTTGGAACAAGTGTTAGAAACTTCAGAGGTCATTTCAACCTCTGAATAGCAGAAAAAAATAATGCCTGTTTTAATTTTCCGTAACATTTAATTTGAACATCTTCAGGTTTATTCCCAAGGTCGGAATCCAATGCGCAAAAACTGTATTTATTGGGGTTCCTTATTGTCACCTTCTGCATTTTCCAGCACTTGGAACCAAGAACGTCTTCCGTTGCGTGACGCTGTGGAACGGCGACCTCCTCCTGATGAGCCTCTTGACGTTTCGGGTCCTCCCGTTGTCGTCCGACCTTCTGGCCTTCTAGATTGGGAGGCGCCATCTGGCGATGAGGTCAAGCAGCAGAGCATTGGAAAGGTGGATTTCAACACACCACAGGTGAGTGAAAATAAAACCTACTTGGTGATTATTGTTCCGCTGTTTCAGCGTACTTTTCATATACGGAAATAACAACTGAATTTAGGGCTTTTTTATTTCCAGGCACGGAAAGGTATCACTCCATATCACCTAGCACTTCACTATGTCCATTAAATATGAATAAGATATATAAATTTTGAATTGTTCCAGCATCAGCAGGCTGAAGTACCTCAAACGCCAATCGAACAACCTCCAGCTTTCTACGGGGCTCCAATAGGAGTACAAAGCTATCCCCAACTGCTCTATATTCCTCCACAATTACCAATGTCTATTGGAGGAGCATTACTCTATCCGCCTGGCTTTCAACAGCAGTACACCCTGTATTCTCCATTGCAACAGTACAAAAGACTTTTGTTGGTACCCCAACAGAGCCCTGCTATTCCACTGCCATCTACTGGGAGAGCGTTTCATTATGAAAACACTTTCAGAGGTAATATATTGGATGTATAACATACTTTATTTTCTATCCATCCAAAACGTCCTGGGCGTACCGACAATATCGAAACGGAGTTCAATGGTGATCTTGAGTCTCACATTTTAGGTTATTTCAAGGTCATTTTTTTCAACTAATAATTCTGTTGGACCTCCAGGAATTTTCTTTAGCCTCACACATTTAATCTTTATTTGACCTCGATCTTAGATTTGAATACATCTTCAGACACATAAGGGCAAAAAGGCAAAAAGGAGGCTTTCCATTAAAAAAATAAAAGTCCACCCTGAAATAATCTTGGAGGTGTGACTCAAGGTCAAATCCAAGACCTCATTTTAACTTTATTTAAAAATAGCTTACCTGGAAAAATTCTGCTATTTTTAATGGACGCCATATACTATAGAATGTTATTTCAAAAGTATATTACGCACTACAGACTAAAATTGTGTAAATTGTTTTTATCATTCTCACATTTGAGAAAAATGATTCCCAATCTGCATGAACTCATTTTTTAGCTGTAGGAGACAATTCGATCAATCCACAAGCAACACCAAAGCGCATAGTATGTTACATAGAAGGCATAGCTTCATACAGACTGGAACCTTTCACTTTCAACCCACCAGATTTGGACCCTAAGCTTTGTACACACGTAGTGTATGCTTATGCCACAGTAGATCCACTCTCACATAATTTGGTTTCGAATGATGAAGAATACGATATTGTTCAAGGTATGTATATCTATGAAAAACAGATATTCAAAAACTTTTCCTTATTCGAGCGACAGTTTTTCTACCTCTGAACGGTACTGTAAAATACTTTATATGGGCCAAATATATTTACGTAATTAAATATGATATGAACTGTTTTCTGCACTTCAGGAGGCTACCGTTCAGCTCTGGGTCTGAAACACCTGAACCCCTCGTTACGAATCCTCCTCTCAATCCGCTTATCCCCTTTTTCCCGACTTTCCGCTCTCCTTGCCTCCTCTGATGCAAGCTCCGCCTTCGTACGTTCAGTCTCCGCCTTCTTGGATCGATACGCGTTCGACGGCGTTGACCTTGACTGGGAATGGGCCGGGCAAGCGGAGGCACGCCCACCGCAGGCGGAGTCACAGCAACAAGAGCGGCTATTGGTGCTTCTGCGAGAACTGGCCGATGTGATTGGAAAAAAGGGTGGGAGTTTTGCTTTGTCTACGCCACTTAACAGGTGAGCAATGTTAAACTCATCAATAGAGGGTGATTAAGAATATCTCGGACGCATATAGGACAAATATAAAACTTGGATTATTAGATAGTGGAATTAATTTCAGGATGAACAGAGGAGATGGTTGGGATCTAGCTGCCAAACTGGCGGATATTGTAGAGTATGTCACAGTGAAAGCATACGATTTTGAGAAAGAAGGAACTGCTAATAGCTCATTGGATATGGTAAGTTAGCAATAATGGAATCAAAAATAAGCTGCAGATCTTTTAATCCGTGTTACAGCACCTAGACGCAAATCTCCGATCGAACTAAAAAATATCTATCTAACCACATGTTTCACTTTCTTTCTCTAAGGACCGCGCCGTGCTTTGGTGGGAACGCCGTGGAATGCCCGCCCATAAACTGGTAGTGGGCGTGCCCTTTTTCGGTCGCTCCTCCCCCATTGACCAATCACAACCCGCCTCAGGCGCGTACACCCTATCGCCGGGCAGATTGGCCTACTTCGAGATCTGCGACGCCCTAATGCCATCCTCCAATGAGGTAGCAGTTTGGCGGACTGGGAGGAGACAGGACGAAACGCCGTATGCGACTGACGGGAAGCAGTGGATAAGATATGAGGATGAAGAAAGTGTTGCTAGAAAAGTGAGCAGAGATTCGTCTAACTTAAGAACAGATAGAACTTAACTTTCAGTTAGAGAGAGATATATTTTAAAATGAATGTTTTTTGTTTATGCGTACAAAGGAAAATTGAATGAATGTAGTAATACGAGGACACTAAGTCAATTTAGCTAGAAGGAAATTTATTTAAGGCAAGCATCAGTATTGTTTATTATTTTTTTCTACAGGTTGAGTTTGTGAATCAACGCAACCTAGGCGGTATATCAGTTATTTATGCAGAGGATGACGATTTTAGAGGACTTTGTGGAGAAAAATGGCCTTTACTGACTACCATTAACAGAGAGATGAAAGGTAAGCTAGCAACTCAATAGGGTTCCTTAAATTCTACTATTATACACAACCAGCAAGTCAAGAATTTCAAGGAGGTTTCAGCGACGACGACGTGCCACACAACTAGAGAAACTATCAATTTTTTCCGGAGCTTTTGATCTTCATCACTGAACGATGTCGTCCTGCTCCCAAGATCACCAGGTTTAATTATTACAGACGTCTGTCTGTCGAGATTTGCCAAAAATAAGATTTCCACCAACAAGCCAGGAACAATACTCGGGAAGCTATTCAAAATCCACGGAAAAGCGATTCCTAACTCCCTTCCCTCTTCAGGTATAACAATAGCGGTCACCCCAACAACCCGCCAATGCCTGGGCGAAGCCGACGGCCGATACAGCGATCCTACCAATTGCGCCGCCTATTTCGATTGCGAGGGCGGAGTCGGAACGCGAGTCGCTTGTGCCCCGCCCACTTTCTATCATCCGGAGAAGGGGGAGTGCATCGGAATGCCAGCAGACTGTAAACCAGGGGCGGTGGTTTTCGTGCCCAAGAATGAGGGGACAGACGCCAGGGCGGTGCTTAAGGCTGAAGAGCAGAACAAACCGAAGGTAAACATTTCTTCAAATTATCTATCTAAAAATGAACGAGATTGTCCTAAATTGTTCGGGATCTGAAGGATATATAAGGTAAGTTTGAGTGTGTCGATAGCTCAGTGGTTTAAAAAGTTTGCTCTCAAGAATTATAAACCAATACAGGATGATACGTATCTACGAGACAAGACAAACATATCTTTTTTGGAATAGATAGCCCTATGTATTTTAGTGTAAGTTGAAATCCCTCTTCAAGAGAAGAAGTTTTATATAATCGATAGGGTTTGGATCGGTACTTTTGGGGTTTCGGTAATTTTTTTCTGAAAAAAAGGCACTTAACTTTAGGAGCTTGTAGGTAGCGTAGCAAACTTTTTGTCAAAATGAGCCCATCCCGTAGTTTCCAGAAAATTCAATGTTTTTGATTTTATTTCTTCTGTTTCATTTTAGGTGGTCTGTTACGTAACTAGTTGGTCTTTTTACCGCAAGTCCGGTGGACGGTTTGTTCCAGAACACATTGACCAACGTTTATGCACTCACCTTGTCTACGCGTTCGCTAGTTTGGATCCAGAAAGGCTGCAAATAAAGGAATTTGACCCTTGGGCAGACCTTAACAATAGTAAGTCACACAACAAGTCATTGTATGATAGTTCAATTCAATTTTGATGCTTGAAATTGTACAAGACAGCATAATTTGAAATATTGCTTTATTCGTCCTTGGATGAAATATATTGCATACCCTTTTCGTAGATCTGTACGAGCGTATCACCTCTCTGGACGATCTCCAAGTATTGCTATCAGTCGGCGGTTGGACTGACTCCTCAGGTGACAAGTATTCTCGACTGGTCAGCGACGGATCTGCAAGACGACGTTTTGTCTTGGGCGCTGTCGCTTTTCTCAGAAGACACAGGTTCAAAGGACTGCATTTGGACTGGAACTACCCTGTGTGCTGGCAGAGCGACTGTAAGAGGGGACCTTCTACCGATAAGGCTAACTTTGCCAAATTGCTACAGGTAAAATTATTGAAAATGCTCATGCAAATGCATGTTCTTAGAGTGAAAAAATGTAGAAAAAAAAAACAAGAAAAAACCGTCAACGATGGGATACGAACCTACAACTTCCGTATTCTAGGCCTTCTTATCGGCCGAACCAGGATGTCATGGGTTCAAATCCCTCTACTGACGTATTTTATGTTCAATTTTTCTCATTTTTTTTTCTCAAAGCTTAGATAAACTATCAAAAATCAGTCCACTTTCATCATTTTCAGGAGTTAAAAAGCGAATTTTCCAAACAATCCCCACCTCTGATCCTGGCAGCAGCAATTTCTGGTTACAAAGAGGTCATAGATGTCGCATATGACCTACCGGCTCTAGGACAACATCTAGACTTTATGTCAGTTATGACATATGACTACCATGGTGCTTGGGAGAGGGTCACAGGTCATGTCAGTCCCTTGTATGGGTCACCAGCAGATAAATATCCTCAATACAATGTAGTAAGTACTTTCTTTTAAGATCTTAGCCTTCACAAATTTATGGAGAATCGTTTTCATTCTTACATACTGAACAATTCCTATTTCCGCAGAACTACACAATGGAGTATCTAGTCCGCCTTGGTGCGCCCCGCTCCAAGCTCCTAGTAGGCGTGCCCTTATACGGTCAGTCCTTCGGAGGGGTGGGGGGTCAAGGCGAAAGAGGGGAAGGAAGCCCTGCCGCGGGTCCGGGAGACGCGGGAGAGTACACGAAACAACCGGGAGTATTGGCTTACTATGAGGTCTGCAACAGGATCAGACAGCAAGGATGGAAGAGAGGTCAAGGCAAAGGAGGTCCGTACGCGTATAAGGGAGACCAGTGGGTCGGTTACGAAGACAGGCAGTCTGTCAAACAGAAGGCTAGTTGCTAACACGCATTAAACCATAAGACTGTTTAACTCAAAAATCTATTTTAGGGTAACTATGCAGTACAAAATGGTTTTGGTGGAGCCGTAGCTTGGACTATTGATTTAGACGATTTCACAAATCGGTGTTGTGGAAGCGCATTCCCTCTGTTACGTGCCCTCAACGAAGGTCTCGGACTCTCTTCTGCGACTACTGCAGCTCAAGAAGATTGCAGCCCACCTCCAGAACCTAGCACACCACCGCCACCACCAACCACAACTGCCTCAGACTCAGGTAACTTACAGTTACATTACAACTACACATCAATCATATAACGGTTACATTACTGATTACCATTATTACGGATTTTCTGAAGAAGCTCTTTCGTTTATTCAAACGTACCTTGAAAATCGGTTTCAAAAAGTTCGTCTAAATCAACACTCTACCGCGCAAAAATTTTGTTCTGGTGTACCACAGGGATCTGTCTTAGGACCCCTGTTATTTTCATTATATATTTCAGATTTAGAAACAGAGGTAAAAACATGCATACAATTTTTTGTCGACGATTTTCTATTTATTTAGGAGTAATGACTTGGAAACAGCGAATAATAACATCAACCAAGATCTTACCCAAATTGAAAAGCTTAGTAGATATCATACATGACAGACGTGTTAGTATACTCAACTAAAACAAAAAGGAATGCTTTAAAAAATTACATAAACATATATTTAAAAGGTAATAAAATAGTTTCTGTGGATCATTCTAAGAACCTAGGTGTAATAATGGATGATGATTTAACACGTAAGCCATTTAACATCCCAGTGCGAAGCTATTCTTGAAGTTTTATTTACAAATAAATCTGCAAAAAAGCAACTGCGTGAATCTTTCTTGTTTTCGAAAATATCGTATTGTTTAGTGGTTCAATAATATATTATAACAAAAATCGTATTATGAATATATGTTGCAGGCTTGTAAGCGATCACAGAAAATATGATCATATATCGAAGGACAATAATGACCTCAACTGGATGAAAATTGATAGCATGTATAAATACTAGCTCTTAAGTCTGACTCATAGAGCATCAGTAATGCATGGCATTAATATTAGATATAGAGACACAGCACATCTGTATTTCAGAACACATATATTTACAATGTTATCGAATTATACAGGGTGACTTTGAAGTTGAGTCATTAATTTTCAGATAATGATTGTAGAAGGAAGATAAACCAAAATATGTGTGTAAAAATAAAAAAAAATTAAAAAAAAAATTTTACCTTGTTTTATAAAGTATCCTCCCGACAAGCATTTCAGTGCGGACCTGTATTTGATCGTGAGGTCTTGGAGCACCGGCATGCCGTCCCCTGTGAGGTCTTAAGTCACCTGATTCACGAGCCCGTTGTACTACATTAACAAAGGCACGAGGGGTTGGTTGCACTCGATTGGGAAACCGATCCGCATAAACATGTGCCATTTTTTATTTCGTTTGAGCCACGCAACAGACACCACTATTCACTCACGCATTACCGACTGACACTGACTGTATACAACTGAATAAAATAATTGTAAAAACATCGTTCCAAATTCTTTCGCTTTTTTGTTTCCGATGCGATGAACCGATAAGGCGGATTATATCCGTTGTTGCCAAACACGAGCACATAATATTATTATTGAGACAGGGCGGTACTCAAACTTCCAAAGGGCTAGAAACTTTGTTACTTTAATTTTACCAGAAAAATGGTAAAGGAAAAAAACATTTCTTTTGATCAGATCTACTCACTGTTAAAATAAATGACTCAACTTCGAAGTCACCCTGTATAGTTCCTTAGATCGTAGTTCCAGAGAAACTGATTCATAACACAAATGAAAGAAAAGATTGAAAGAAATTCTACTTAATCAGCAGCGAAATCTTTTGTAACCAATAAGTGTTAACTGACTGTATGTATTATTTATGCCTTTGTATTATTATGCTTTATCACTGGCGCTATTGCATACAGGTATTAATTTTTTAAACATTTTTTAGTTATTATACAGTAAAAAGTATTGTTAATATGGTTTGGTGGTAAAATAGATCTAAATCTTACCTCCTGTAATGTTATTACAAATGAAAATGACGTTAATTATTATTATATTACAATTAACTTATAATTGCTGGGAGAAATTATAAAAAATAACGAAATATTACATCGACTCTAAATAGTTCATATCGAATGTGTTCACACCATAAAATGGCAAAAAATCCCTTCCAATGACCCAGTTGTGATGTGGTACGTTTTAGGACAGCGTGTTGTTTTTCTACGATTTATTGTTGGAATATGACTCTCCCTTTGTCGTAGTGGTTCTCACTTTGTCAGTACTACCGGTTTGAACTGTCTTACAATTTACAATTACATTCCAATTACACCATAATTACATTACACTTACATTACCATTACATTACAATTACACCACAATTACATTGTTTAGGAGCTTCGACGGAGCACAGTCACGACCACTGGTCTACAACCACTTCCAAGCCTGTGACTTGGTGGAGTACTACGTCTAGTACTACAAGCCAAAAGCCACCGAAGCAGACGACTACGTCACCTTGGTGGACGACATCATCTACAAAGCCGACCGCCTGGTGGACTACAACTCCTTCTAGTACTACGAGTACTACTAAGCAGACCACTACCTCGTCTTGGTGGACAACCACTAAGCGACCAAGCAAGCCCACTACCACATCTGCTAAGCCTATTACTACAGAAAGGTAATTATTTTAGTATCTTCAATAATACAGATCGTCTGACTTGATGTCTTAAGGCTAAGACTTCATCCCTCGTTTTATTTGAGTTAACAGTTTTTGGTGCGCTTGGATTTGGAAAGTATGCCCTTTTCTTTTTACTCTCGATGTAACTAATTAAATCTGTTTGTGAACATCTGCTAGCAATTATACTCGAAAGATGCCTCAATAGTGCGACTACACTGAATACTAAATATAATTAAACGAGCTTCTTCCCGTCTTAGGCCGTCATCCACAGTGATACCGCCCACTTCAGTGGTCCAACCAGATCTTCCTGCACCCACCAGCGATCAAACTCCGCCCACTTGCCGACCGGGCCAATACCTGCCCGACCCATACAATTGCAACGCCTTCTATAGATGCGTCTTGGGCGAACCGAAGAAACAATATTGCGCCGGAGGACTGCATTGGAATCAGAAGAAGAACGTGTGTGATTGGCCTAGGGAAGCCAAGTGTGAGACTGGCAGTAGTGCAGCTCATTCGAAACGTGAGCAGATTTTTATTCTGTATACTTTGTGTCTTGTTAGTATCTGTGTTAAACTTGTAAAACCTGTATTAATTGTAATTGTATTTTCAATACACTGAGACCAAAGGAGCGGTCGTACAGGCCTGTTCTCGATGTTTCTGTATTTTTTTCTATTAGCATTCTATTCTTTGTAGCTTCATCAAACAAACCACCTACAAGAGAACCATCTACTACCACCACTACCAAGCGACCATCTAGTAGTACCAAATGCAATTCTCCTGGTAGTTACTATCCTCATCAAGATTGCACCAAGTTCTACGTTTGTTTAGGTGGTTTCAAAGTGGCCCAACAGTGCGCTCCTGGATTGAGGTACGACCCTAGGAGGCATATGTGCGACTGGAGCTCAAAAGTACCTTGTGATGGAGGAAATCGGAGGACTCATCCGCTGAAAGGTAAACGGAAACACCGGCTTTACCTTAAAGTCTAACTTATTACTCTCCCATTAAGTTATTACCCTCTGTGATCTCTGTGCATGTATTTATCTTCGAATCGGCGAATCCAGAAGTGTTCCCGCGTTTTCTTGAAAGATTGTAATCAAAGTAAACTTCTTAAACTCACCAGGGACATAAAAAACCGAGACATTTTACGGTCGCATTACTATTAGCTTGAACTATGACGTACTATGGCAGATCGAGATTGAAGTCTAAGCAACGTTATTAGATTCTGGACATATGAGAGACTTTTTAGTTGAATTTTTCTCTGCAGTGGGTCAAGCCCAACCTTACTCATCATGCAGAGGCGATGTTTTTGCTCCACTACCAGGTGACTGTACCAGGTATATGCACTGTCAATGGGGCAAATACGAGGTCAGAAAATGTGCACCAGGTCTACATTGGAATAACGTAAGCAATTTTTGTATTTTTCAAAATGACAACCAAAAGTCAATAGCTATTTTAATTAAAAAATGTGAATCAAACTTGCATTTTTTTTAGAATTGATGGTATACGTATAGATTTTTGCATTTTTCAAGATGGCGGTCAGAATTCAAATCATATCAGTCTGAGAAAACTCGTACAAAATGGCTTTGATACCACGGAATGTTACATATCGTTGTCAGGAAAATTTAAAGACAGATTTATTTCGTAAAAGTATGGAAAAAACTTCATACAAACATGTGGGTCCACAAATTTCCCCGTCTACAAAATTCTATGTCACTGATTTTGGCAAAAATAAGAGTCTCAATGATTCTGCTTAAAAAGTATATCGTGAAGTATTTTTTTATTTCTAAAACTTCAAAAAGCGGTTTTTGAGTAGATTCTGACCGTCATCCTACGGATATAAGCACTTTAAAAAACAATTTAGAACATTGTAAAAGGAACTTCAAAACGTATCTCATAATTTAACTTTAGCATCAACATCTAGTCATTTACTTATCCCAGGAACGCAAAATCTGCGACTGGCCCCACTCCGCCCGCTGTCAGGAACAAACAGACAACGAACTCGACCCCGACGAAGAACCGCCCATCCACGAACTAGACAACGCTCCGTCCACCTCATCTCAAGCCCCGCCCACTTCTCCCGCTCCTTCCGCAACGACGACCCAATGGTCGCCACCTCCTACCGAATGGGTGGAGCCATCTTCCCCCGCCACCGAGTCGCCGTGGGAGTGGCATCCGCCCATACCTCCTACCAGCGAACAGCCGCCATTGGCTGAGCCGTTGAAGCCGTTCTCCGGGTACTTTAAGCTGGTTTGCTACTTCACGAACTGGGCGTGGTACCGTCCTGGCGCTGGGAAGTACTTGCCCGAGGATATTGACCCGAATTTGTGCACGCATATCGTGTACGGGTTCGCCGTTCTGGATTTTTCGAATTTGGTTATCAAGGCGCATGATTCGTGGGCGGATTTTGATAATCGTAAGTGCATTTAAAATATTAAAATAACTTATCTATTTTCAGTCTTAGAGATATGATAAAAGTCTTTCCAGTACTATGACGGAGAAATCGCCATTATTCACTTTAATGTCATACTGAGAACGAAAAACATAGGTAGATTATATTGTCAGCCATTTTGATTATATTATATTATATCAGTGAAAAATGAACCTAGCGACGTTTTAGAAACAGCAATTTTCGGTGGAGGAAATAGAGAGTCGGTATCACTGTATAAGAGCTTGCCACTTAAATTTTTTGTGTTTCGCACGAGTCTGGGATTTATTCGTATATTCTTGGACATCATTTATATCTTACAAATGACTTTTCCTTACACAGAGTTTTACAAAAGGGTAGTTGGGTACAAGTCGAAGGGTGTGAAGGTCTCGATCGCGATTGGTGGATGGAACGACTCTCAAGGAGACAAGTACTCGAGGCTCGTCAACAATCCATCGGCAAGAAGAAGATTCATCGAAAATGTGCTGAAATTCATGGAGAAATATAACTTTGACGGATTGGATTTGGATTGGGAGTACCCGAAATGCTGGCAGGTAGACATATAAAAAACTGTTTAGAATAAAATAAAAAATACAATTATACTAACATTGCTAGTCTTCAATTTCTTCGAGTGCTAGCTTAAGAGCCGATGGTGGAACATCTTCAATAGCTTTTCTTTCATATAAACATTGATTTTCTGGCATCTAGGTTGACTGCAAGAAGGGTCCAGCGTCAGACAAGCCGGCTTTTGCAGCCTTCGTCAAGGAATTAAAAGACGCCTTTAGACCAAAAGGCTACCTGCTGTCCTCCGCTGTATCGCCGAGTAAAACTGTTATCGACGCTGGATACGACGTTCCAGCTTTGGCGGAAAGCTTGGACTGGGTAGCTGTTATGACCTACGATTTTCACGGACAGTGGGACAAGAAAACGGGACACGTCGCTCCTTTGTTCTATCATCCCGAGGATGATGTGGCTTTCTTCAATTCGGTGAGCTTAAATATATATATATAGTATGTATTCGCGAGCGATTTCAAAATAATTGTTAGCTCTCGAACAAGCATCGATGAAGAACGGCTCAAATATAATGTTTAAATTGAATCAAATGGATTAAGTGGTAATTTAAAATGTTAACCCTGTCACAGCTAGTTTATTCGTTTTATATACAGAGTGACCAAAAAAGGTAACACCCTCCACAGATTTTAGCAGCTCTTACTCACGAAGTTGCAGTCAATGAGTATATAAGAAATCGTGGACCCTCAACATATTATTGAACCAGCTTCTGCAGTCAATTGACGAATCAAGCTGAAAATTTAAGCATTTTACTAGTAAGGGACACTGAACACATATGCCAAAAATTATTAAAATCGGATAAACATAAGTAGTTGTTTACCTTTTTTCTTTGCTTTAACGCTCAATATCAACGGCTCATGTAATTTCCATGGATACTAAGCAACTTGCGACTCTATACAAATGACGTGCTTAAATACCACTCTTAAAATGTAAAGAAAAATCCAAAAATTCTTTCCATACATTTAAATGCGAGGTTTTCTACATTTCTTTAATGCCCTCTTAGTAATGGATCATATATCTCGACTCAATATAGATTCGACTATTTTTTCCCTCAGAACTTCTCTATAAACTACTGGATTTCCGAAGGGGTACCGCGCAGAAAGATTGTAATGGGTATGCCCTTATACGGTCAATCCTTCAGATTAGAAAACGAAAGCAACAACGGATTAAATGCCCCTGCCCCTGGTCCCGGGGAAGCTGGCCCCTACACCAGAGCTGCTGGATTCTTGGCCTACTACGAAATTTGCGACAATATCAAAAATAAAGGGTATGTCTCACTATACGATATCTTAAATCAAATCTGAATTGATTATTTTATTTAGTTGGACTGTCGTTCAAGATCCTCTGGGCGCAATGGGACCTTACGCTTACAAGGGCAACCAATGGGTGTCATTCGATGACAAAAATATGATTAGGAAAAAATCTGAATACATTAGAAGTATGGACATAGGAGGAGGTAAGTTTTGCGCCTGAAATTGTGACCACGTTTCTGGAAGATTAATTGCAACAAATTTCTTTGAAAAGGTATGATATGGGCTTTGGATTTGGACGACTTCAAAGCCAAATGTGGAGAAGGCAGGCATCCTTTACTGACCACTATCAGGAACGTTCTAGCAGATCCAGGTAATGGTGAACAAACCCCCGTAGAAGGTCCAAGCTATGAGACAGAGCCACCATCAGGGCAAGGAGAAGAAAGAATACCAGAAAAGGGAGGTGAAGAAGACAAAATAATGACCACATTGGCACCTGTAGGAGTTGCAGAAACTTCTTCACAAGCAGTTGTTGACCCTAACTCGGAATTCAAGGTACCCCAATACTAATTATTTAACTAGCCGCTACTTGTGCATAACAAGACACTGATCAAAAGCTGTCGCTACCGTTTAGATGTTTAAGGATTACTGTTTTTATTGTAGGTGGTTTGCTATTTCACAAACTGGGCCTGGTACAGACAGGGCCATGGAAAATATCTACCTTCCGATATCGATCCTAACCTTTGTACTCATATCGTTTATGGATTTGCAGTCCTAGATCGAGAACAACTAGTTATAAAACCACACGATTCATGGGCAGATATAGATAACAGTAGGTATCTGAGGAGCTTATCAACTTTTTGAGTACAAACAGAATTAAAGAGAACCGCCTGATAAAATATTTCAATGGTAACTTTGTACCAAATCAGCGAATCTGTGTCAGTGTATAAGACATGAATCGCTGTAAAACACGAAAAACATAAATCAGATGAGCTTAAGTTAGTTATGATGCGTATTTTTACAGAATTCTACGAGAAAGTAACATCGTTGAAATCCAAAGGCGTAAAGGTTTTGATAGCAATCGGAGGTTGGAACGATTCTCAGGGAGACAAATATTCAAGGCTTGTGAACAATCCGTCGGCAAGAAAGAGATTCATAGAGAACGTTCTAAGGTTCATCGAAGACAACAACTTTGATGGGTTGGATTTGGATTGGGAGTATCCCAAGTGCTGGCAGGTAGGTGACCTACCTCAATTTTATCATTTAAAGCTTAAACGTATTTTATTTTTAGGTGGACTGTAACAAAGGTCCGGCTAGCGATAAGGTGGCGTTTGCAGATTTTGTGAAAGAATTGAAGGAAGCCTTCCAGTACAAGGGATATTTGTTATCATCGGCAGTGTCGCCTAGTAAACGAGTCATCGATGCGGGATATGACGTTCCTGTACTCTCAAAGTAAGCATTTGTTTATAAAATAAAATTGCACAGTACATTTAACAACTCAGTGAGCCGGAAAAAATAATTTCTCCAACTTGTTTTTCGGCAACATAATGACTATATTTAAAACATGCTGTGACAACAATGTCGACGTTTTATCTTTGTTTTTGTTTACGTTTGTCAGTTTTTGTGAAGAGCTGGGTAGTACAGATATTCTTAGTTAAAGAGAAGATTGAGAAATATTTTGGGGCTGAAGCTAAATGAATCATCTAGAAGCAAATTCAAAAAAATCGGTATTTGAACAGTTTTTCTATTTAAACAAGCGATTTTTCACAGTGAATGAGCCTTCAAGTAAGCATTCTAGAGTTTTTAACTATATTTATCCTAAGCATATATTAGCGTACTTGAAAAAGGACCTTTACAATTGTCTAAAACTTTTTAACAATTTAGCTGCAGTTGTGAAAAAGATTGTGAAACGAAGTGCATTTAGAAAATATACAGGGTGGCCAATATATAACTGACTGGTTTAAATTTTTGATACACGCATCAAGTTTCAATACAAGATTTAGATGAAAAAAATGTACGTATTTTATTTCATTTCACAAATATTCAAGATACAAACCAGGCAGTCATATATCGGCCGCCCTGTATATAATATATTACTGATTCTAAAACCATATACAATCGATGTCTTTTTCAAGATTTGAATAATATGCTATATAGCAAGATTCTATCGTTACTTTTTTTGGTTGAAAGACCACTGTTACTGCTACTGATATTTAAAGAGCTCGTTATGCAATTTTATGACTTTTAAGAGTTTGTCTTCTTCTAGATACCTGGATTGGATAGCGGTAATGTGCTACGACTACCATGGTCAATGGGACAAGATTACTGGACATGTGGCACCGATGTACGCGCACCCAGAAGACGTCGACCCTACTTTCAACACTGTAAGTCAACTAATTTTGATTCGTTTCATTTTACTTAAAATGTCTGTTTTCTTTAGAACTTCACGATACACTACTGGATAGAAAAAGGAGCAGATAGACGAAAACTTGTGCTAGGCATGCCAATGTACGGACAATCGTTTTCACTGGCTGAAAGAGAGAACAATGGATTGAATGCCCCTTCTTACGGCGGTGGAGAAGCCGGGGATGAAACTAGAGCTAGAGGATTTCTTGCTTACTATGAGGTATGATATATATATATATATATATAACAAGAAATAGGAAAATAATGGGCAAAATCCGCAAAAAGAAGGAAAGTGGATTCGAGCAGAAAATAGGATAGGTAACCAGAGCGATACGTATTTCTGCTGGTTGGCTTCATCAGGCCCGAAATGAATGCACATATGCAACTACAAAAGTAGATACACATGCTCATTGTCCATTATTTTCCTATTTTTTGTTATATACCTTTCTCCGCATGATCGTTTTCTCTTTGTATATATATATATATATATATAGATAAATATGCTTGTTTGCATCTTAATTCATTTACGACTCTCCATGCCTCCTCGGTTTTATTTCCTGCACTTATTATTTTCTGTTTATAATGATTATTTTTCGTCGTACAGTAATAATTGAAAAATTCACTTTTTATACATTTCTTGATACTTATAGTGTAATGATCTCCAATTTCGGGATGATATTTTCAGTCTTTTTTTGATCCATGGTTTTTTACTCTTAATTTCAACTTTTTGGTACGGGAAGCTTCAGCTGCCAAGAAAAATATTTACAAGTAGTTCATAAAATGCTAGGAAAGGATTGTAAGTAAAGAAGCAATCATTCCAGTTTATTGTGATACGTTCATTATAAATTTTAGATAAAACAGTGTAAGAAGTAATATCATAATTTGTACATATGTAGTCAATCTTGGTGGACGAAGAATGAGATACATATGTATCATCTTGAACTTGCATATTCAAGTCAAAAGACAACTATTATCTTCATAATTCGTATTAAAATCTCCTGCAAGTAAAATATTGTACCGCCATCGAAATAATAATATACTTTGTACTTTTCTTCGTACTACACACTAGTTTTGTTCTGATTTCTCCGATCTTTATGATTCTTTCAATTTTTCTGGTTACCCCAGTGTCTCTGATTCTTCCGTACTTTTCAAATCCTTCCATTTCCTCGATTTTTCTGAATTTTCAGATACGAGTATTACCGATCTCTCTGATTATTCTGATTTTTTAAACTTTTCTCATTTTGTCAATTTTATTGATTTTCAATTTTCTGATTTCTTCCAGTTTGTCCTGATTTTCCTCATTTTTCTGACTTGTTGATAATTCCTGAAATTTTATCATTTCCCTGATATTTTCCATTATCCGAGTTCCCCGATTTCTTTTGGTTTTCCTTGTTTTTCCGATATTTATAATTTTCCTGAATTAAAATTTTTATGATTCTTCTATTTTTTTCGATTTTCTCTATTTTTCCAATGTTTCCTATCTTTCCAATTTTTCTCTTTCTCTCGATATTTTACTTTTCGATTTTTTTTTGGTTTTTCCCAATTTTGTTTTTCTTCTGAATTTTCTGATTTGTGATTTTTTCAATTCTCCGAGTTTTCGATTTTTTCAGCTTTTCTGGTTTTTCCGATTTTTATTATGTTTCTGAATTTCATTTTGTTCTGATTCTCTTGATTTTCAGATTTTTCTGATTTTTTCGATATACCCCATTTTTCGATTTTCCTAATATTTCAGATTATCATTTTTCTTATTTTTCTGATCTGGTTTTTCTAATTTGACCAATTTTCTTGAGTTTTGAAATTACTCCAATTTTCCATATTTTTCCGATTCACCTGATTTTTTATGAGTCTAAGAATCTTGATTTTCAGATATTTTAGATCATTCTAAATTTTCTGATTTTTCGATTTAACGAGTTTTTTGGTTTTGCCGACTATTATAATTTTTGTTTGATCTAATTTTTCTGATTTGCCAAAATTTCTAATTTTTGAAATTTTAACCATTTTCCACATTTTTCTGATTCTCCTAATTTCTTTTAATTATCTAATTTTTCTCATTTCCAGATTTTCTGATTTCTGTTTTTTACGATTTTTTGAGTATTCGGAAACAGTTGAACATACATGTGTATCATCTTGAACTTGCATATTCAAGTTAAAAGGCTATTATTATCTTTAAATTAACATTAAAATCTCCTGCAAGCAAGATATTGTGCCGCTATCGAAATGCTTCTACTTCCCTAGCGACATACTACTTTTTTCTTCGTAGATTTGCGACCGTGTGCTGAAGCAAGGCTGGACGGTGGTGCGAGACCGCCAGGGCCGGATTGGCCCATACGCCTACAAAGACGACCAATGGGTGTCCTTCGACGACGCTGGCATGATCAGACACAAGAGCGAATGGGCGCGCGCGATGAGACTGGGAGGAGCGATGATTTGGGCGTTGGATTTGGACGATTTTAAGGGCGACAGGTGTAAATGCGGACGGCATCCGTTGCTATCCGTCATCAATACGGTGCTCAGAGGGTACAAGAAGCCGCAAGCGCCCTCTTGCAGACCACTAGGTGAGTTTTGGCCCCAAAAATAGTCCTTGTAGAACTCTTATAGTGATATTTTAGAAACATCACGCCTCCTTCTTCAGTAACTCCGCCTCCTTAGATGACTCCGTCCATTGCTTGAGACGACTGACTATTCTCGCCTCACCCCGTCAACTACCATTACTATTACTTGTGATTTTTGTTTGTTTAAGATTGATTTAGCATGATTGCTAGCATTTCATTCTTAAAAAAACTACAACAATTGCATAACATACAAACATTTAGAAAAACAAAGCTTCATGAAATGTTACATTGATTTAATGTAGATCTAATGGTGGTTCTTTGACTTCTGTCAATTAGGTAGTTATGTAGAATTTTGAATACAGATCCTTTAAATCCATAGTTATGTAATTTTGTAAGTAATATATCACTGTCAACAGTTTCAAACGCACTTTTGATGTCCAAAAACACTGTGCATACATCTTCTCCAGTCTTCCAAGCCTATTTGTATTGCCGTTTCAGTTAGGTGTTTTTCCTAAATCCAGCTTAAATCCTAGTTAAAATTATATTTCTCTCAATGAATTCGATGATCTGTTCATAAATATTTTTTTCAAATACTTTTTCAACATCTGGCAGAACATTTATCGGTCACATATCGGTGTACAGCTCAGATTTCTCAACTTTCAAATTGTAAAATCTATAATTACTTTTTCAGGAATCGATTCACTCCAATCTTCAACACCGCAATCGACACCCACTCCTAGCCCCGCCCCTCCCTCTCAAACTACGCCTCCTTCTACAGTAACCAAGCCGCCTTCGATGACTCCGCCCCTTCCGTGCGACGGTCGACTGTTTTCGCCCCACCCCGTCAACTGTCATCAGTACTATTTGTGCAATCAAGGCCAACTTCAATTGCAGTCGTGCCCTAGCGGATTGTACTGGAATGCGGATCACTGTGATTGGCCGGAGAATACGGAGTGTCATCCAGATGGTGAGGAAAATAGTATGTTTTGAGTACAAAAATGTAGTTGATTTGATGGCGGGTAGGCAATTATTATATTCAAATGGTAAGATGTCGTATATCACTTATAAATGTGGAAAACAAAGTCTTTGAATGATAAGGATATATTTGATGATGTTGATCTTTATGATTTTATGTTCTATTATCATTTGTAGGTACCAAAGGTTCTGATGAAAGAACCACAGAATCATCGTGGAACAATCAAACTCCGATCAAGCAGATTTCAAATATTGAAAGCAAGTACAAGGTTGTGTGTTATTTTACCAACTGGGCATGGTACAGGTAAGATATTTTACATAATTTTCTCACGGAGTAGAATCATGTTTGTAGCATGGTTAGCGAAGCCAAATGTAATAATTTCTATAAATTAATAGACTTTCTGAGTAAATTATATAAATTTAATAGCTTATCTTAGGACTTCAGTAAGTAAATCGAGGTTATCCTTATATTCGTTTACATTGTTACAGACATGGAGATGGAAAATACACCCCATCAGACATTGATCCTAAGTTGTGTACACACATCAACTATGCTTTTGCTGTTCTGGACGCCGATACATTGACAATCAAACCAAGAGATCCTTGGATTGATATTGATAATAGTAAGTTTATCATTATATAGGATAGTTAAATACAAAAATAAAATAGAACAATTACAGTGAGGTGAACAAAAATTCATCTAGCCTTTGTATATCCTAAATTTAATTAATGTAATTTAATTTAAACTGTCTCGTTCCTAGGTTTATACGAAAGAGTGACAGCTCTACGCCGGCTCGGTCCAAAAGTGCTGCTCAGCTTAGGAGGCTGGCACGATTCAGCATCAGACAAATATTCCAGACTGGTTCGAGACCCGGCTGCACGGCGAAGGTTCGTGGCAGACGCAGCATACGCGCTTAAAAAATGGGGATTCGACGGTTTGGATCTTGTATGGGAATATCCAAAATGTTGGCAGGTGAGAAAATATCATCTTGCAAAGAATAATTTTGAGAATTCTTCAGACGAAGACGAGATTATTATTAAACATTTGACATTCTCATAACTTTTATTCTAGTTGTTTGAATTCTTTAAACGATTCGACAGAAATCATAGATCATAGATTTCCTCATCTCCAGATACTCCAGTTTTTCTAAAATCATCCCAGTTTTCAAAATTTTCATAAATTTCAGAAGAATGTTCATAATTTTTTCGATTTGAAGAATTTTCTAAATATCTATTCCGAATCTTCTGACTTTTCCGAATTTTCAGAATCGAGCGAATCTTCTGAATCTCTCTAATCTTCTAAATCTTCCGAATCTTCAGAATCTTCCGAATATTCCGATACTTCAGAATCTACCGAATCTTCCGAATATTCTGAATTTTCCGATTTTTCCGAATATTCTGAATCTTCCGATTCTTTAGAATCTTCCGACTCATCCGAATCTTCAGAATATTCTGAATCATCTGAATCCTCTCAATCTCCGAGTCTTTCGAAGCTTCCGAATCATCGGAATCTTCCGAATCTTCTCAATCTTCCAAATTTTCATAATCTTCCAAAACTTCCAAATTTTCTGAATCTTCCGAATCTTCTGGATCTTCTGAATCTTCTGAATCTTTCTTTTGAATCTTTTGATTCTTTTGAATCTTCTGATTCTTTTGAATCTTCTGACTCTTCCAAATTCTCCGAATCTTGCGAATCTCCTGAATCTTCCAAATCTTCCGAATTTTCTAAATCTTCCAAATCTTCCGAATTTTGTTAAATCTTCCGCATCTTCTGAATCTTCCGAATCTTATGAATATTCTGATTATTCTGAACCTTCTGAAACTTCTGATCTTCTGAATCTTCCGAATCTTTTGAATCTTCTGATTATTTGAATCTTCTGATTCTTTTGAATCTTCTGAATCTCCTGAATCTTTTGAATCTTCTGAATCTTTTGAATCTTCTGATTATTTGAACCTTCTGATTCTGTCGAATCTCCTGAATCTTCTGAATCTTTCTTTTGAATCTTTTGATTCTTTTGAATCTTTTGATTCTTTTGAATCTTCTGATTTTTGAATCTTTGGAATCTTCTGAATCTTCTGACTCTTCCAAATTCTCCGAATCTTGCGAATCTCCTGAATCTTCCAAATCTTCCGAATTTTCTAAATCTTCCAAATCTTCCGAATTTTGTTAAATCTTCCGAATCTTCTGAATCTTCCGAATCTTATGATTATTCTGAACCTTCTGAAACTTCTGATCTTCTGAATCTTCCGAATCTTTTGAATCTCCTGATTATTTGAATCTTCTGATTCTTTTGAATCTTCTGAATCTCCTGAATCTTCCGAATCTTTCGAATCTTCTGAATCTTCCAAATCTTCCGAATCTTTTGAATCTTCTGATTATTTGAATCTTCTGATTATTTTGAATCTTCTGAATCTTCCGAATCTTCTGAATCTTTTGAATCTTCTGATTATTTGAATCTTCTGATTCTTTTGAATCTTCTGAATCTCCTGAATCTTCCGAATCTTCTGAATCTTTTGAATCTTCTGATTATTTGAACCTTCTGATTCTGTCGAATCTCCTGAATCTTTCTTTTGAATCTTTTGATTCTTTTGATTCTTTTGAATCTTCTGATTCTTTTGAATCTTTGGAATCTTCTGAATCTTCTGACTCTTCCAAATTCTCCGAATCTTGCGAATCTCCTGAATCTTCCAAATCTTCCGAATTTTCTAAATCTTCCAAATCTTCCGAATTTTGTTAAATCTTCCGAATCTTCTGAATCTTCCGAATCTTATGAATATTCTGATTATTCTAAACCTTCTGAAACTTCTGATCTTCTGAATCTTCCGAATCTTTTGAATCTTCTGATTATTTGAATCTTCTGATTCTTCTGAATCTCCTGAATCTTCCGAATCTTCTGAATCTTTCGAATCTTCTGAATCTACCAAATCTTCCGAATCTTTTGAATCTTCTGATTATTTGAATCTTCTGATTATTTTGAATCTTCTGAATCTTCCGAATCTCCTGAATCTTCCGAATCTTCTGAATCTTCCGAATCTATAGAATCTTCTGATTCTTCCGACTCGTCGGAATCTTACGAATCTTCAGAACCTTCCGAATCTTGCGGATCTTATAAATTTTGTAAATTCTCGGAATTCATTCTTCCCCTTCCTAGATGAACTGTAGCCGAGGTCCTTCATCAGATGGCAGCGACTTCCAGCGTCTGGTAGCCGAACTGAGCGCCAGGCTACGACCCCACGGACTTCTGCTCTCCGCTGCAGTTGCTGCATCCCAGAAAGCGTTGGAGGCAGGCGCTTACGGCCCCCAGCCGCAACTTCTTCAGCACAATTTGGATTGGATGGCCGTCATGGCCTACGATTACCATGGCCATTGGGAAGGCCGAACTGGTCACGCGGCACCGTTAGTTATGGGTGGGAATGGTAGTGTTCTGAAGGCTGATGTCGTAAGTAGAATACGATGATCCAATCACATAAGAACAATTTTCAAAAATCGCAGTGTTCATAGGATTTGCAGAATTAGATAATTATTTTTTTTTAATTTGTTATAGAACTCGTCAATAACCTATTGGATCAAAAATGGCGTGTCTCCAAGGAAACTGGTACTCGGCGTACCATTCTATGGCCAGTCTTACACCTTGGAGGATCCATCGAGAAACTGGCTGAACGAGTCCACGGCAGGACCGGGAGCGCCTGGAGAATTTACCGGAATCAAGGGATTCCTTGCTTTCTACGAGGTATACTTCACGACAAGTGTTAGTTTTTAAGACGACAAAAACTTGACTTACACATTTCACCATGTTACTTAGAAATGTTTATTGTTTTAGATTTGTGAACGTGTAAACAAGAACGGTTGGAGGGTGTCAAGAGATCCGTCAGGCAATGTAAGCAGCTATGCCACCCATGGAGATCAATGGGTGTCTTATGATGATGTTGCTGAGGTTCAACGAAAGGTAAAACTTCTATTCGTTTTTTATATTCATCCATATCACTTTCCATGCCAGTAATACTAAGAATCGCTTGAATAAAGAAAAATTCCGAAATGGTTGCTGCTGCGCAGATGTGGGAAGCAACAACGTTGCCAGATGCACAGTAACTTCCGACACGGAGGGAAAGAATGTCTTCTATTGTACATGTTCGTAGCTGACTTGAATCGCATTGAACTTAATCCTTTATGGAATGATGGCGTTTCGTAGGAAATGCAGAGTCAACCTACTCGACGCCATTTTTTTGTGTCTGGCATCTAAAAGTACATATCCGATAATCCTTGGTCCTTCTAGGTATTACTTGGCTTTAACTAAAAACAAAATATTTTTCGTAAAACGTTTGTGTATTTTTCAGGCAAAATATGCTATGGACTTAGGCCTCGGCGGTGTAATGGCGTGGGCCCCGGATCTGGACGATTTCAACGGCAACTGCGGTTGCGGAAAATACCCGCTACTTACTGCTTTAAAAACAACACTTCAAGATACAACAGACAGCAATATTTTGCCGATCAATTGCACGTGAAGAATATCGATATTATCGTCAAGACATTTGGATCTCAATTATCGAATATTTTTTGTTAGAAGAACTGCATCTCTCACATTTAAAAATCCTATTTCACTTCGGATAAAAGCATATCCTTTTCTGCACGGGTATCACGTATCTTGAAAAGTGACATTATGCCGATTTTTTTGACATTATGTAGGTTATTCTACAAGATGTTAACTCAGGCATGTTATCAATCTTTGGCTTTGATGTGATGTAAAATCTGCTTCTGAGTTGGCATTACTGGAAGTCTAAGCTGTAAGTTTCATGTGTTGATGATAATTACATTGGGTTCTTGTCTCAAATACACTTAATTGATATTCAAAGCTAGAAATTAGTTGCGCATCCACTTTTTCTTATCCAGTCCGGAAATTACATATACATATTTGCTGAATTTCAAAAATGAGAGAGATAAGAAGTAATTATATTCACTGTACACTGTCGAATTAAAAGCCATATACATGCAAACACAACGCGGGCGCGGTGATGATTTCCCGTAATTCTCCTCAGTTTTTCGTAATTTATAACTTTGAACATACACTCTCTTCAGAAATCACAACATATAAATTACCCGTCATATTCAGTAATGATTTTCTCACACAGCAAATATCACTGAATTTATACACATGCAGACATAATCTCATCCAGATGCGATCTTGCTATTCAACCAACTTTCTTCTCAGAGATAAAAACTACAGAACCGGATCACTCAGCCTCACAAAGCTATGCAACCAATAATGCGTAGTTTAGTTGAGTGATTCCTTCACAGATGGACGTTCACAACGATCCTAGTGAGCAAACGTGGAATGACTGTTTGCGCCCTAAAAACTACCTAGTCTGCAAGTTGACATCCTATAGGTTTTTTTGACGTTTTATAGGTTTTTTACATCATACCCGTGCGGTCTTATTTTAAATTGAAGCTTCACTTCCCCCATGAAGTTAAATAAGAAACAGAATAATGGCAACTACTTAGATCTAGAAAATGGCAAAAACCTTAAATTATACGTATTATACCTTATTTCACGAGTATTCATCACGCGTTGACGTCTACTGAGATGGTGAACAGCTGATCAGCAAGTGACATTTTTGTGTTAGTCTGCAACTTTGGCCATAATGAATCGGGTGTAAACCTAGCAAAAATCTGTTTGTAGCGTATTGTTTTTTCTATGCAAATGAACTTTTCTAAATAAAACAGCTTTCAGCAAGTACAAAATGAATCTGTAGCGCACAAAAAACATAAAACAAAATATGGGTCTGTCCACTTGGCAACGCCGGATCCGTCAGAATTATATGTCCTTTACCGATATGGGGAATTTTGAAATATTACTGAATAACCAGCTGTCATTTGACCGTGATAGATACTCGTGAAATAGGGTACCTATACTTACCCTCTGAATGGCTCAATTTTCTTAGTAAATATCTGGTTATTAACTAATAAAACACTCGAAGTTTATTGTTAGATGGATTATAAAAACTATTCGCGAATTTTATCCCCGGAAAATCTGTTAGAAGATGGCGCTTACACAACTGCAATTTCAAACATTCAAGCAAATTGCGCATGTGCAACGTGCGATGTTGTCAGATTTCCGCTTTTTCCCTAAATTAAATTTTAAACCGAAATGCTCTTGAAAATTATTTGGATAGGAATGGAGTAAATAATTATTGAGAATCTCTATCAATTTTACGGAAAACATTTATACGAGAAAAAAGCAAATATGATTTTGTTAATACTGTGAGTGATGCGTTTTTTGAATATTAAAATAAGTGTGCCATTGATTTGTAGTGTCACTTTGTTAGTAATAAATTGAAATATTTTTATACATTGTGTTATTATTTGACTCAAATTAGAAGTGACATCACTATAAAAAATTATACACAACTAGCTGAATGAAGTGTGGAATGAGGCATTTTCAAGTTCAATGTGCTTTTCTTTCTAGACTATTTAAAAAAAATATGCAATCAAACACTGAAGGCTAAAATCCAATTTAATTTTTATTATTATGTACATATATTTTGCACTAAACTCATTGGTTTTACATTAATTTACAGATTAAGGCAGATAAAAAAATACCCAATTGTAAATAAATATCTAGAATATCACTAAAACATCAAAAACAAAACGAGATCTATATAACCTTTCTTGCGCCCATCCCTATACCAATAACAAGGGCAAAGACTGTCAAGCCTTGAGCTACCACCCTAGTCCTCATCATATACTGAGACATCTTGTGCTGGCCAGTTCGGAAACACCACAGACCATAACAAAGTGCTCCTGCCGTGGCCCCACATCCTAAAAACGCATCTTTTAAGCTAAGAAAGTCAACATTGAGGCTTCACACATAATGTTCTGATAGAATCAAGTGCTACACAGCTTAAACAAGATATTTCATTGATAAACATACATTTTACTATAATTCTCTTTCAGATGGACTTTAAAATAGTGTATGTATTTACCGAGCGGCACGAAAGGATCCGCTTTAAATTTTCTCATGAATTTTTGTTTGAATGTTTCTGACGATGGTAAAACATTATCCATGTCCTTTCGCAAAGTCAACCAATCGAACTTTGCGATCTCTTCATCTGTTAGCTCTTTATTTTCCATTCCCATAATGAAACGCACTCAAAATTTTCCTGCTTTCCAACTGTTATGAGATTTCCAAAATAGAAAATACGAAAAGGACGTCTAACCTTATTTTGGTAGATTGACATTTGAAATCGAAGGGATGAAGATGGGTAATCGAAATCGATATCGAGTTGTTGCTGGAGGTAAAAACATTAATTATAAGAAACTGTAGTTACATTGGCGGTGACATCTTCCAATGACAAGTAATAGTCAGCATTGGATAGAAAAGCAAACTGCGATTTGATGAGTACAAGTACAATTGCTATAAAGCAGAAAGATCCCAATATTATGATATGATATGACAGTATGGTGGCGTCATCTCATGACAGATAGACGTACTAAGGTCTATTGAGATGAAGGAAACTGAACTGAGTTGCTTGAAAATTCAAACTTTGACATTTCAAGTCTGACAGATAACCAAAAAACCGTATAAAATTGCTGACTTTTATTCGAGAATAGTGCAATTTCAAAACTTAATTGTTGTGTATGCAATGTCGAAAGAGTTCAAGTTGAGTAGGAGCCTGTACGGGCATTCTAAGGATATAAGATCTGTCGCATGTACCTCTAACAATGATATCATCAGCGGTTCCAGGGATAGAACTGCTAAATTCTGGAAGTTTATTCCGTAAGTAGCCGAATTTGGGTATCACGAAACTTGGCTTTGCATAGTCACAACCTATTTTCAGCTTGCAGAACGTTTATAATGAAGTGATGACCTACAAGACACATGAAAACTTTGTTGGTAGCGTTTTGTATTTGGAACCTACGACAGATTTCCCGGATGGTTTGGTAGTTACTGGGGGGTATGATAAGGCTATCTACGTTTATAGACCTGGAGAGCCCTTCCCTACTTTCAGTCTCAAAGGAGTACATGCTAACACAGGTATTAAAGAATGAATAATCATGATTGGTTATGGTTTATTCCAGAAGTGTAAAAAGGAGAAGCAACTTTGTCAGTATCTTGTTATTGTCAAACAAAAGAAGATAACTGTATTTATGGTTTTTCTTTTAAAAAAGTACCTCACAATCCTCTTACAGTGTGTGCATTGTCAAGGGGAAATTCACCAAACTCCTTCCTAAGTGCATCTTGGGACCATACAGCAAAGTATTGGGACGTTTCTAGTACCGCAACAAAGCCGACAGTGACATTTTCTGGGCATGAGGCTTCTGTATGGCATGTAAGACAACTAGGCAACAATCAAGTAGTTACAGGATCTGCCGATAAGACTATAGGAGTTTGGACACCTCAGGGACAGAGGGTCCACGTGTTAAAAGGTTTGCAGAATCGATTTTTACATTTGTTTAGAAGATTGGGTATAAAAAATTCTGCCTTTTACCAGCCTTCTGGAAAGGACACCTTTTTTGCTAATGGCCTCTCCATTTTTCATTCAGTTTTTTCTCTCCTTTAGGAAGTCAATAAGGAACCTGATTTTAGCCTTCCTAAAGTAGAGGAAAAATATTTAGTTCTTTGAAAATAGAAGGGCTGAGAATGTGACCCTTAAATTTACATCCTTGATTTGAAACAGTGGGACTGTAGAAGCCCTTAGGAGTGCTTGTATTTTCAAGGCAACATGCATTTCATAGGGGTGGTAATATCTGTTTCTAATATTTGTTATTTCTAGGCCATACAGATGCAGTTCGATGTATAGAAGATTTTCCTGAGTTAAATAGATTCTATAGCGTGTCAAATGATGCTACAATAAGAGTTTGGACATATGAGGGAGAAAATTTAGCTACATATTATGGTCATAATAGCTTTATATATAGGTAAAATAATATCGTTTTTAGCATATATGCAACAAGAATTAACTTAAACCATATCCTCCATGTATTTGACCATCAAAATACCATTCCAGTGGCTTGACTCTATTTCCTTTAAACTGTTTTTCAAGTGTATACAGATGATATTGCTTCTTTTTCAGTATAGCTAGATGTAAAGCATTAGGCGATGACAGTTTTGTAACTTCAGATGAGGATAGGACAGTTAGGATTTGGAAAAATGGAGAAAATGTTCAAATTATAAATTTGCCGGCTCTGTCTGTGTGGTGTGTCACTTGCTTGCCAAATGGTGACGTTGTGTCTGGTTCAAGGTACATAGAAATAATTCCTTTAGGATTTGCATAGTCAAAAAAACATACTTTTTTTACCTATTTTATGAATCTTACTAAAAATCCAAAATTTAGTTAAAAGTTATCTACAATCATTGCCATTAGATACATTGTGCTCTATTTGCTTTGGTGCAAAAAAATTTGTATCTCAACCCTTATCCTTGATTCAGAAATTGAGATTTTTGATAGCAAATATTCAGAAAAATAAAACTTGGATCTCTAAGAATTTTCAGTTTTTCAATGTTCCTTCAATTTTCTTTTAAACATTTTTGAATTACAAGTACACTTTATATCATTATTTAGTTTATTAGATTCAAGTAATCCCTTCAGTATATCTTTCTGCTTTATTTTCTCTTCTATAATAATTGTGGTAATGATTTTTAAATTCGATGTAATGTTCTGACTGATAAATATTATTTATTTGAAATATAAAAATAAGAACCAAATATGATATGAATTTTTTTATATTTAATCACTGCATTTCTTGTAACATAGATTTTATTCTGGTGTGCTTTGATTCAAAATTATTCTCGCAATTTTATTTTCTAAGAGTTGTAATTTTGAGAATACAACTTCAATGCCATAAAATTATTGTGTTATAAACTATTTTTTTTTAGAACATGAGAAGTCCTATAAAAGTATTTTTTTGCAATTTTAAGAATTATGTATTCAAAGTGATTCTCAAGTTTTAGTTTACTACCAATATACCTTTATTATTCCACCATTTATCCTGTGATAGTAATTTTATTTAAGCACAAATTTTGTTTTAGAAGTCAAAATTTAGTATCTATAGGCAGTGTCTATATTTCCATCTGATATGTATATTAATATATCATCTGAAAATATCTGATTTTACAACAATCTAAAATATCTCAAATGCCATTAATGTATAAAATACACAAATTAAATACATAACTTTCAAATTCATAGTGATGCAATTTTGTAAGTCATTTAGACCTACTGTCAATAATTTCAAACGTCCTTTTGAAGACCGAAAAAACTGCCAGTTGAGATCCATTTCTATGAAATCATAAGAACAACAAATTCAACTACTAGACCACATCTACCATATCGCCAGAATCGTCGGCCTTCTGCAGTCACAGCGGTGACAGCTGTCAAACGCGAACTGAGATCTTACAGTTCCAACCGATTGACGTTCTTCTGATAATAGATGGCATTTTGAGCTGTCTTATTTAGAAAGCACAAAAATTTTGAACATCAGTTGTAGTATGTTGAATCCGACTATTGATTTAATATTGTAGGTAACTTCTGCCCTTTTTCTTCCCACTTTTAGCGACGGTGTAGTCAGGATATTCACTCAAGACGAGGGACGAGTTGCAGATGAGGCAACTTTGAAGCGGTTTGAGGAAGAATCAAATGCTGTCAAAAGTCAAGCGCTTAAAGAAATAGGCGGATATAAAGTTTCAGAGTAAGTTTGAATATATTTCTTTTTCAATGTAGAGGTATTTTCAAATAAATATGATCGTTTCAGTGTTTTGTCTCAAAAAATATGTTGTGATAGTTTTGACCTCAACTTAAACGAAAATTTATATAGTATATAAGTTCCATCAGAGCTGAGGGAATAACCTCTGTATTAAATATGTTAACAGAAGATCCTGATGCTTCCAAACCCACAGCCCTGTACCTGGCTTCAGCAGGAAGTTATTCCGAGTGTGACAATATAAATTTGTAATTATGTTTGAATAAAAAAATTACACACGTTACATACCTCACTATTTTTTAATTTTTTTTATGAGTTTGTTGTTTTAGTCTTCCAGGAAAAGAGGCGTTATTCGATCCTGGCAGAAGTGCTGGTCAAATCAAGATGATCAGAGAAAATGGCGGTGTGATGGCTTACAGTTGGGTTGAAGAAGGTGACACTGGACATTGGGAGAAAATTGGAGACGTCATGGGCGGTGTTGAGAATAAAGAGGGAGAAAAAAAGAAATATGAAGGCAAGGTACTGTTTGTTTTTTTTGCTCATTTTTATTCATAAACTTTTTACATGTCATGCATAGATTTACCCAAAATGTGTTTGTTTATGAGTAATATTCTCTATTTTGGGGAAAACGCTCAGACATATCAATTTTGATTTCTGGAGGGACGTCTTTTCATCTATAGCCACACAATACAGGGTCATTATATTGCGTTACATCTTAGATTTTTAAATGGAAACCCGAAATTGTTTTTAATTGTTAGACTTTCCAAAGTTTATGCCTAGCCTCAATCGTGGTGAAGCTATTTGCGTTTATAATAAAATTCAACTAACTTAATACTGGTAATAATGGAATGCGCGGCAAAAAATAATAATCATAGATTGCTTTTGTACGTTTGCTTTCAGGAATATGACTTTGTGTTTTCCGTGGACGTTGAAGATGGAAAACCGCCTTTGAAACTCCCATTCAACAAAGGGGATGATCCGTATGTTGCCGCTCATGCATTTCTAGAAAAGCATTTTCTACCAGCTGATTACTTAGAACAGGTACTGATATTATTTTTTTCAATCGTAGAGTTATTTGCAATCTCGTTTATACTTTTAGGTGGTGGATTTTATATTGAAAAATAGCAACGAGCAATACGTGCCGAAATTAACCGCTGAATATCAAGATCCTTTCACTGGCAGTTCGCGTCACACGCCGAGTTATGGGCAGAATCAAGGGCAAACAGCGGCTTTAGATCCATTTACAGGTAATAAGACCGAACTAACAAACATTCTTAAACACTTTTATAAAGCCTCTCAAATTCAAAAAATGTCCACATTAATACAGGGTGTCCCAGAAGTTGACGTCAAGCCGAAACTGGGTGATAGGCAAAGTCATAACAGCTATCAGAAAAATATTTAAAAAAATTTTATGTATGTGTTTTGAAAATTATAGGTCTTTGAAAAAGATATAGAAATTTCACACCCTACGGCAGTCTGTCAACTCATGTTACTACAAATAGTAACTTTTTTTGGATTTTATTTTTACAATGTAATGATGAATAATGCATCTTCAAACTGGTGTCTCGACCTTACTGCCAACTTTTCTCGTTCAGGAAAAATTGCCACTTATTTCCCAACCAAGTATTCCAAAGTAAAACTTTGCTCAACTTTAACTGGCTGTACTGGAAAAAAATGTACTACGAGAGTTTGGCAAGTAACCTTAAAAGTTGGCGCATTTAATAACGATTCCAAAATGGTATAACACTTAGAAGATCACTCGTTAACTTATGCACAATTTTTATTTGAAAAAAAACTGATGAAAATTTTTCAAAATTTCCTAATGAGACAAGTGAAACAAGCGAAAATCGGCGGTTTTTCCGGTGGAAAAAGTGCTCGGGTTTTTCGCGGGTATGCGTCAAGCGTGATTCGGGTGTAGTGCAGAGAAAGGTTGACGCTGTGTTGCATTCATGTGTAAGTTTTTGAACTTTCAGGAAAAAAGTTTTTGCAAAGCGTTGTTTCCTGTCAAAACCTTTAATCGGGAAACAAATGCTTGACACGGAGTTGCATGTAGCATTTGGTTTTGGAATTCAGGACCCAATTTTGAGTGTTCTGATCATTTCCAGAAAAATGTTTATGAGGGCTAAATATATACATATATAAAACAGCTATCAGAAAAATATTTAAAAAAATTTGTATGTGTTTTGAAAATTATAGGTCTTTGAAAAAAATATAGAAATTTCACACCCTACGGCAATCTGTCAACTCCTGTTACTACAAATATTAACTTTTTTTGGATTTTATTTTTACAATGTAATGATGAATAATGCATCTTCAAACTGGTGTCTCAACCTTACTGCCAACTTTTCTCGTTCAGGAAAAGTTGATTTCCCAACCAAGTATTTAAAAGTAAAACTTTGCTCAACTTTAACTGGCTGTACTGGAAAAAAATGTACTACGAGAGTTTGGCAAGTAACCTTAAAAGTTAGCACATTTAATAAGGATTCCAAAATGGTATAACACTTAGAAGATTACTCGTTAACTTATGCACAATTTTTATTTGAAGAAAAACTGATGAAAATTTTTCAAAATTTCCTAATTAAACAGCGATTATGAAAACGCACAAGGACCCTTAAGGATAACTGTTTGCACAACAGTGGGCGTCAAAATGCTGCTGATGATGATTTACCTTTACAGCAAATGCTCAAACTGTTTTCCTTCAGCCGCAATACACGCTCGACATCTTCTTAAAAAAGATCGGGTTATTAAACGAGCGAATCCACGGTTATTAACAAACTCAGCTGCTTCCAATAGTCTTTGCCGTAGCTCAGCTACATTTTGAATCGGCTTGAAATACACTTTTTCTTTTACAGTTCCCCGGTAAAAAAAATCTAACGGATTTAAATCTGGTGACCGGGCTATGCACTCTCAGTGAGCGAGTATCTCGATCAGAACTTTCCAGGCAGATGCATAGGGCGGTCTGGTACAATACCGTGGCCAGCCCGATCACCAGATTTAAATCCGTTAGATTTTTTTTACCGGGGAACTGTAAAAGAAAAAGTGTATTTCAAGCCGATTCAAAATGTAGCTGAGCTACGGCAAAGACTATTGGAAGCAGCTGAGTTTGTTAATAACCGTGGATTCGCTGGTTTAATAACCCGATCTTTTTTAAGAAGATGTCGAGCGTGTATTGCGGCTGAAGGAAAACAGTTTGAGCATTTGCTGTAAAGGTAAATCATCATCAGCAGCATTTTGACGCCCACTGTTGTGCAAACAGTTATCCTTAAGGGTCCTTGTGCGTTTTCATAATCGCTGTTTAATTAGGAAATTTTGAAAAATTTTCATCAGTTTTTTTCAAATAAAAATTGTGCATAAGTTAACGAGTAATCTTCTAAGTGTTATACCATTTTGGAATCCTTATTAAGTGCGCCAACTTTTAAGGTTACTTGCCAAACTCTCGTAGTAAGTTTTTTCCAGGAGAGCCAGTTAAAGTTGAGCAAAGTTTTACTTTGGAATACTTGGTTGGGAAATAAGTGGCAATTTTTGTTTGTTTGAAGATGCATTATTCATCATTACATTGTAAAAGTAAAATCCAAAAAAAGTTAATATTTGCAGTAACAGGAGTTGACAGACTGCCATAGGGTGTGAAATTTCTATATCTTTTTCAAAGACCTATAATTTTCAAAACACATACATAAAATTTTTTTAAATATTGTTCTGATAGCTGTTATGACCTTTGCCTATCACCCGGTTTCGGCTTGACGTCCACTTCTGGGACACCCTGTATATGTAGTAACACAAACAAGTCACTTTTTATTTTGTTTTTTGTCCGGTTAGGAGAACATTTCCTCGTGTCCGCGTCCGTCCAAGAGAGAGTTAATACAGTGAATTATATGAGAGTCGGTGGGGAACACGAGAAACTGTCCCTTTAAAGGAGGTGTCCGTATAAGATGGGTGTCCGCGAAGGGGAATTTCACTGTATACCATTTTTAGTGTACTATGTTGGTACTTAATTTGTGTTGTAATGCTATAGCGTGCGTTTTTCAAACCTTTTTTTAGCCCAGGAAAGTGCTAGGTCAATATAAACTAATAAGAATATCCTACAATCTTTCAGCGAGGCTTCTACTCTTACGGCTAAAGTAATGCCTGTGGCTTCGATTTTTTTTTCTCATTGAGAGTTATAATCGATTATTTTTTATAAGGTGCCAACGCTTACACCACGTCCAAACCATCAGAAGCCGCCTCAAACTCCTTATCAAGCAATTCAAACAGCTTAAATCAAGGAAGTCGTTCTTCGGGCTTCTTTCCTCAGACATCGTATCGTTCCTTTGACATGGGAGATCCTGGAGTGATTTTGAACAAATTGAAGGAGTTCAACCAAAAATGCGGAGACGGTTCTCAGAGAGTGGATGACAGACAGTTGGAGGAGATGGTGAAAGTTGCGAACGGCTTGCCGAGTGATCCGAACGCGTTCGATACGCTTTTCAAGCTGCTTGATTGGCCGGACGGTAAGCGTACTTACAGGATAACTTAAACAAAACTCATTTTTTCGATCCATCTCGCTTTTACTCGCTTTTCGTTGAAAACATTCACTATTTTCGCTCTCGCTGTACATGTTATTGTTGTACATTTTTCTTCTTTCTTGCAGATATCATATTCCCGGTGCTAGACGTGGTGCGACTGGCCGTGAAACATAAAAAGAACAACGAAGTCATAGTGTCGATGAATAATGGCATCATCGTTGAAAAACTGAAACATTACACGAACGGCTGTTGCAAAGTAACGAGCAATATCATCGTGTCCTTGAGAACGCTTTCCAATTTGTGTCTTCACGAACCCGGGGAGTTGCTGGTTTACAACAACAGATTCGAGCTGTTCGAGAATTTCACGTCGTTGAGCGAACTCACCAAAGCTGGACAGGTAAGTTTCCGAGCTGTCTGGTACTGTTTCAAAAATAAGGTTCCAACAAACACGACGGTGTCTCGAGGGAAAGGGGTGGCTTCCAGTAAAATCGGCTACAAAACAGCTATAAGGCACCTACAAAGCTGGAAGAGTGCAGATGTTGGTTTTCCTCAATGCCTGAAGAGGTTAAAATCTGATAAAAATGGAGAAAGTAGCACCCAAACCGAAACAAACAACTTAACTCAAGGTAGGTACATAACAAGGTGCTACTCCATAAACTGGTGATTGCGGCCCAAACATCCGAAAATCTGGAAATCAAACAAACGACCCGACCGCAACCAAAAGCCTCAACAGGAAAAGAAAAAATTGCCCACTCCAGGCTGTTAGTCAGTTGACTGTCAATCAATATCAAAAGTAGGAAAATTCCGTACTCCACAGATTCAGTGCAAGAAAATAACGAGTGAGAACTTCCCATTTCCAAATCAAACTGTCTACTATTCTACCGAACAGAGTTTCGCCCAAGGAAAACAATCCAAAAAAGCGTTCGGAGATGAAAAGTTCGTAACCAAACGTTCATATGCCTACGGTTAGACCTCAGGTCCGTGTTATTTCCCAAAATAATGTTGCGGGTAAACGGGTTTACGAGGATTTATGATGAAATTTTTGAGATAGTCGTACATAAACTTCAACGCAATACTGAGTCGCTAAGAAAGATATAATATGGATACGCAGGAAAGTAAACGCATATTAAAACAAGAAAGATTGATATTCAAATCAAGTTGGGTACTTTATTTTGAAGGTTCATTTATACCATTTATGTATGAAAAATAATATCGCTCAAATGTTCACCACGACTGGATTTACAGACGTCCACGCGATGGTCGAAATTTTCAATCACATTTCGCAACATGGTCGGTTCTATGGCATTTATCTCGGCAATGATGTTGTTTTTGAGTTCTTGGAGGGTGGCTGGTTTGTTGACGTAGACTTTGCTTTTCAAATATCCCCGTAAAAAGAAGTCCAAGGGAGTCAAATCGCACGATCTTGGTGGCCATGGCACATTTCCTCTGCGCGAAATCACGCGATCACCGAAGAAGGACTGCAATTGATGGATATTGACGTTGGTTGTGTGGCATGCTGCACCGTCTTGTTGGAAATAAACATCGTCCATATCCATTCCTTCAAGTTGCGGCAAAAAATAGTCCTCTATCATCACGTGATATCGCTCAGAATTGACGGTAACGGCGTCCCCGGCCGCATTTTCGAAAAAGTAAGGACCGATGATGCCTTTTGACCACAATGCACACCACACAGTCACTTTTTGAGGATGCATCGGCTGCTCTTGATACTCACGAGGATTTTCGTTCGCCCAGACGCGGCAGTTTTGCTTGTTTACCGTCCCATTCAAAGTGAAATGCGCTCCGTCGCTGAACATGATTTTTGATGAAAAATTGGCATCAATTTGGCGGTGTTCAAGGAGCCAATCTGAGAACGTTCGGCGCGAAAAATGGTCGGTCCAACGCAGCTCTTTCGTCAATTGGATCTTGTAGGCGTGTACATTCAAATCCTTGTGGAGAATGCGGAGCAAACTGGTTCTCGAAATGCCCAATTCTTGGGATCGACGCGTTGTTGATTGTTTCGGATCGTCTCTCACACTCTCCTTCACAACAGCAATATTTTCCGGTGTGCGAACGCTCCTTGGCCGGCCAGAGCCTGGCAGATTTGCCACAGAACCTGTTGCCTCGAATTTACGCACCAGACGACCGATGGTTGTTTCGTTTGGGCGTTTGTTGCGACCGAAATGTTCACGAAGCGCGCGAAACGTGTTTTTTATTTTCGCACCATTTGAATAACTTTAATGCGGTCTTCAATCGAATACGACTCCATAGCGATCAATGGTAAACATTCAACTAACAAAATGACATGTCGGTGACAGAAAACAAAGATGGCGTCTATGTCAATTGACGTTTACTTTCCTGCGTCCCTATTGGACGACCCTATATGTGTGAAATTATACTTTCAGGATTAGGTACTTTCAAGCTCAATAGATCAATAAATTATGAAATTTGATTAAAGAAAATCATTAAAAGTGGTTTGGCATAGGAATCGGAATGGTATTAATAAAATAGTAAAAAAAAAGGTTACGTCATTTTGGGACGTTACAAGCGTTAAAACCTTATTTTTGAGAGAATCCTCGTATGATCATACAGAGAAACGATTTTTTGATGAAAAGCAAAGATTTTTCGAGGAGAAAAAGTTCATTCTTCCATAAACTTTCTATAAAAGTGGGATACTTGTATTCCGTTTCAGAGCTGCACTGATATTTGTTAAAAAATTACGATTGAGGAAAAATGCACAAAAGGCTTTTTTGATAAAAAACATTGAAAAAATTGTGTATACACACCATAAAATAATCAGATGAAAAGGATATAGAATAGTGCATCAAAAATGATTAAAAAATGCGATTTTTCAGGTTGCCTTAGCGACCTGCCTCCTGAACGTCACAATAATGACGGGCAAACAAAAGGACGAACTGGGCTTCTCAGTCCTGGCGCAAGTCCTTCCGGACATCTTGTCCAGACTGACAGATCCTGAAGCTCAATTCAGACTATACGTGGCTGTCGGAACGTTGATCAAAACGGCTCAGCTTCACGGAGCTGCAGTCAAAGCGAAGCTGAACGAGAATTCGAATTTTCTCAGCACGATGCAGTCGCATTCGTTCTCTGGTCAGAACGAGTTGGAAAATAAGAGGATGAATTGTGTCAAGCAATTGTCCGCGTTGCTGTAAGGTTATCGGTGCGTGTGTGTGGCTTTTTCAATAAAGTTAAGTTACGCTTCAACTTTGTGTTTTTGTTATTGTCCTGATATACCGATTCGAATGGATCAATGAAGATTGAGACGTGGTCATTGTCGTCTAGACCAGTTAGGTGAAAAATTAAAGCTTCCGCCTTTTGTTGGGTGCTTCGACAAAATTTAAGCAAAGAGGACTCTTTATACTTTTTTTAATTCTCTCTAGCTTTCAATGGACTTTGCCATCATCGTCAGGAGCTGCAATTACATTGATAACAGTAGCAACAATAGTGTAAAATGAATTTAAATTGACTTAACTTACCGTAGTAGGTGAGGATGTTGCTAATTGTTGTTTTTACCCTCATCCTGAACGTAAGGCAGGTTAGTTTGTTTTCGAATAATTCTTTGGGTATCCTACCCATGAATGTTTTTATTTCAAAACAAAAACCCCCACTAAAAATATTATTAAGCATCCACTCAAAACCAAGAAATAAAATTTATGCGTCCATACCCACTTGAACAACTTGCATCAATAAAACCAAACTTTACAATTATTTCGCAAACCAGGAGTCTTTTCGTCTATGGTTAGACGATAATAAACTTCTAAAACAAGATTTTTTATAATATCTCCGTTTTACCATGATTTTTGGTTCTTGTAACATATTTAAATAACTTATTTATTGAGCGTTTTTAACGTCAAAATAACAATTCTTCTTAAATTTGTAACCAAATCTAGTAGATTCAAAGAATTTTGTCTTAAAGGTTTTGAAAAATAATTCAAAACTGACAGAAGTTTGACAGCATCTTGTTGACATTAGTGACAATTTATACGCTTACAATAATCAAATCCAAGCGAATAACCAAAATTTCTGTGTTATGTGCCGCGGTTATAATATGGTTCAAGATGACACACGGGTTGATGACGTCAGTTACACGAATCGCTTGAACGCGTTGGTTTTAACCGCGGTTTTGTTGCAAGTTGTTTATTTTAGAAAAGCGCGTATATAATCTCTGGTTATTTTTATTATCACTTAATAATCGGTGCTTTTTCGTCTACAACTGTATATGGAAAGTTTAAATAAGAAACCTTTCATAATATTCATGGGAGAAATGTTTTTTCAGATTTTTTTTTTAATGATGGAATCATGGCTTTGTAGCTATGATAACTTTCAATTCCCTAAATTTTTCCGCATGTCAAAGAAAACATTTATTGATTCAGCAGAAATGATGAAAAAAGATATTAGCAAAACCGTATACAGGTGGATATCATCTAGTAAGTTTATATGGCCATATTTTAATATTCTTGCGGTATATGGCTACACAGGATACTTTGTTAAGCATAGGAACTACATTTAAAGTGTCCTCAACAACCGTAATGAGTATAACTAATAAGGTGCTCCACTTTATGGTAAAACTGAAGTCAGCCTGTATCATTTTTCTCAAAAATGAAGTTGAAGTACAATAACAATATCCAATACCCGGCAAAATTCTAACCTGTCACATTTCAAATAATAACTAGAAATATAAAACTACTCTTGAGTTGGGTAAATATAGTCGAAATCACGAAAGATGACGATTACGTCATCGTTGTACTCTGTAGTAAGGACATACGACAGTGATTTGTGAATATTTTCAATGAAGTTTCTGTTATGTTAGACAGAGACAAACAGAATTTTATTGTCTAAACAAACTGTATTGCTAATTTGCATGTATCCGACAAAGATAGACGACGTTTTCATGTTGCATGATCGATCATATTTGAAAGATGAATAGTTAGGTTATGTTAAAGTAGGTTATGTTGCTTTGGAATAATACTTTGGTCTTTGGTGTTCCTGTCTTGATGTAGGTATTCTACTCATAACTGTTTTTTTTTTTCCAAAACAAAAACTCGCCACCAAAATTATTATTAAGGTATCACTCAAACCCATGAAATAAAATGAAAATAAAAATAATCAGTGAAATAACCTAACTTCGCAAAATCATAATATAAATTTGTTGTCATTATGTTTCAGACTCGTGATTTTATCAGCGACGTACGTCCATTGATTACTTCAGTATAATTTATGGTATGACGTAATAGTCATCTTTCCTGATTTTGACTATACCACAATTTTGCGGTGATAACTATGACATATAACAGCTGATTCGTGACGTCACGGATCTTATAACCAAACGCTTGAACGGATTGGTAAATACCAACCCAAAATGGTAAATACCATTTCCATTTGGTTATCCGCTTGAATTTGATTAATGTTACCATTTGACACCTTCAAGACACCGCTACTAAAATTACAATATCGAACTCGAAAACCCATCTCTACACCCAACATTTAGCTAGCTTGACAGCTGTCAAAATGTCAACTGATGTCAACGAATCTAACCTCATCATGCAATCCCATGTTTTCGTTTTGATTTATATTTTTTCGATTGCATTTCGATTACAGTAAAATGAAAGAAAAATACACATATTTCTGCGGCACCGCGAGAGGCAATATATTGGAACTAGCTCCGGGCGGTGCTATAAAAAACGCGAGACCATCAGAACCGTCCGAAGTAACGGCTTTGAATTTCGGAAGGAACGAAGACGAGATCCTGGTGGGCTTCCAAAACGGTGGAGTCAGCAGTTACAGCATTGCGACAACAAGCTACAAAGACACGTTGAAAAACCTCGAAGGAGACGGCAAAGTAGCAGGCTTAGATTGCATAAAAGGCACGCTTTTTGCGGCAAAACACGACGGTATCATCAACGTTCAGAGCGAAAAGAATAACCACCTGATAGATATCGGTTTGAATGACAAAGGGACGTTGGAGTGTGCGGTGTGCAACGTATCCAGAGAAGCGATCGGAACTGGCGGGGAACACAACGATCTCAAGTTATGGGATGTAGTGACCCAACAGTGCATTTTTAAAGCAAAATCGTTAGGCCACGACAAGTTGAACCTTCCCATACCGACTTCGGTAAGAGGCATCGCATTTTTCCCCGAGGAGCCCCATTTAAGCACGTGCTGCACAAAAGAGGGACACGTTTTGATGTACGATGATCGAGCTCAAAGAAGGCCTGTAGTCAAATTCTTTGAACAAAAAGCAAGTTATGCCAGCATAAGTTGTGCGTATAGAGACCGTCAGTGCTTAGTCGGAACTACGAGAGGTTACATGCAGCTTCTAGATATGAAAAGCGGCAAATGCTTAAAGACATTCACCTCATTCACAGGCAGCGTTACGAATATTGCTTGTGATCCTGTCGAACCATACGTATGCAGCACAAGCCTAGATCGTTATTTGAGGGTACATAATCTAGAGACGAAACAGCTTGTTCATAATGTTTACATGAAACAAAGTTTGACGAAATTGCTGATAAGGCCTGTAGTGAAAGATGAAAGTGACGTGAAGGAGGAAAATGAGAAAGAAGCGGACGAAGAATATGACAATATTTTTGAAAGTATGGAAGTTATCGGTGAGGAAAGTAAGAAGAGGAAAAGTGACGGATTAAAGAAGGCCAAAAAGAAAAAGAAATTGTAGTTTTATGACTATTTAATAAAGTTTTTAAAAAAATGAAACTTGATTGATTTCTATAAAGTTCTATCTTGAAGGCTTTTTTATGTTGTTTGGTTAGGGAAAACTTTGAAGTAGATACACCTCTGTTCTTCAAAAAGTTTTTAGAGGCAGGTAGACTTTGAAACCGAGCGCCCATGCTTCCATATTGGGCGTACGAACACGATAAAAACTGTGGAATTACCTGCTTCTTGCTGAATATTTTAAGAACTCGACTTGTTTTTCAAACACTTTCTGAAATGGTTTTCTTGTTCTAAACGGAATGGAATATCAATATGTTAAAAAAAAACCTATCCAATATGTCAAAAGGTTCACTCCTTAGGGTACTGAAACAAGATTACATCATTCTTTTGAGCCCAATCAAGAAAACCCAGAGAACTCGATTACGTCAAAATGACGTCATTATTCGGTCACTTTCGGTTGGAAACGTCATTGACTAAAAAGGCGTATTTTTTACTTCCTTTAATTTCCGTTTATAGGGAAAATTCCATACAAATTTTCAGGTCATGCCTTTAATTTTATTTTATTTGGAAGAAAAACAAAACAACGAGCAAAACGTAATAAAAATATATTTCCAGTGAAGAAAAAATAAAATACAAATATGCCATGAGAAATATTTAAACTGTTTATACAATCCTATGTTTTACTATCCTTATCATCTTTCTGAAGCTGCGTCAGCCTCACTTGAATTTCCTTCAATGCTCTGCATACCTGCAATTTTTTTTCTTGTTTCTGCACAACCGCAGCCGTAGCTGCATGTACAGAATCTTCAAGTTCGTTTCCCACCTGAAACAAAGACTCACTATGTATTGATGAAAGGATATGTTACAGCTTGAAAAGACACGCTTTAATAGCAAATCGAACTAATAAGTAGAAAACAATTTTCAAGTATATGATAGTTTGTATTACTGTAATAGAGTCCAATAATCAAACATGACTAATTAATTTGCAATAAGATCAATATAATTTATTCACATCAATTACACACAAAAGGAAAATATCCTTGTATGTGGATATCACATGCTAACACAACATACATAGCATAACATAAATTGATAGGACTAAAAAAAATCTATATAAGTGTACTATGTACATTAATTTTGAATCGTAGTTAGTTAGTTTTTTATAAATTTCATCATGTTTATAACACTTTTCAAAAGCCACTCGTATACATCTATTTTCAATAATGATATTCGGTTTTTTCTAATATATTTTGGTAAGTTATGATATAATTTTGGACCTAAGATTTCAAAATTATTTCTTTTTTTTTTGTGTGTTGCAATCATTATTTATTTTTAGTTGTAGTTGTATTATATTCATAATTTTTATAAATGGTCGAATAATTGTTTTTATGGAATTCTAGTATAACATTATACCAAAATAAATTTTTTATATCTAAAAGTTTTGATTCTATAAACAGTGATTTGGAGGGATATTGTTAAAGGTTTATTATGAATTGTTTTTATGAAGTAGTATCTGTAGCATCTGGATTTATATAATAGAAATAAAAGTTTCTTTTTAATATATTTCATATGTTCATCCCAACGAAGATAACAGTCTAAAACAATTCAGAGATATTTATGATTTAGTTTACGTGACGTATATTCATTTTGGAGATTTGGTTTCATTACATATAGCGGTAATTTATTTATGTAAAAGGTGAAGGGAATAAAGTAGGTTTTTTTTATAATTAATAGTTAATAATTGATAATTAAAGCAGTCTGTTATCTGTACTAAGTCTTTTTCAATTTCTTCTTTTAATTTTGACCGAGTTCTGGCTTTATGGATGATAGTGGTGTCATCTGAAAATTCTGTTTTTTTTTTCACTTTTTGTTGGTAGATTGTCGTTGATATAAATATATATAAAAATTAAGTGAAATATTAAAGCTTCCGCCTTTTGTTGGGTACTTCGACAAAATTTAAGCAAAGAGGACTCTTTATACTTTTTTAATTCTCTCTAGCTTTCAATGGACTTTGCCATCATCATCAGGAGCTGCAATTACAATGATAACAGTAGCAACAAAAGTGTAAAATGAATTTAAATTGACTCAACTTACAGTAGTATGTGAGGATGTTGCTAATTGTTGTTTTCGTATAGGATGAGGGAAACGTCCAGTAACATGGTGAGAGTTGGATACATGGTACAATGGTTAAAATTATATAAAATATGACAAGACAAGTTGAAGACAGATTGAAAATTATTTTTCACCTAACTGGTCTAGACGACAATGACCACGTCTCAAAAAAAAAAAATATAAAAATTAAGATACCAAAAAATTTGATTACAGCAAAGCAGCGTGAGGTGGTTGATATTAAATGTTATAATTATTCTTTACTTGCTATTTACAAAATTGGGCTTATGAAAATATATTTAAAATTTCTTCAAATTTCGAAATTTTCGATTTTTTTAGAAATCTCCAAATATTGAGAAAATTTTCCCTTTATTTTCTAAATTTTCAAATCCAAATTTCAAAATTCACCTAAATTCAATATGTTTATAGTAAGAGGGTATCATACCTTAACCATCATTTCAATCTTCTTCCTCATGATATCGTACACTTCTATAAATGTAGCTAAGATCTTTTCTCCTGTCTTCTTCCGCTTTATTTCTAGCATATTCCTTTTCTCAGTTAGAGCATCACACGTAGCTTTAAGTTCTTTTAACTTTGACGAGTTCGATAATTCCCACAATTTTTGCTGCAGTTCATCTTCCATTTTGCTCTGTTTATTTTTTATCTACAAAAATGTCATTCTCGGTACTCGTTTTCAAATAGAAAATTGTCTTTATCTGCAACACTGCAACTGTCCATTTATCGCAGATGGAACAGGGGTACCTCAAGGATCAGTATTAGGTCCGATTCTATATCAACGATTTAATAAATTGTAAATTCGAAGTTTTTTGCTGACGATACCACAATACTTTGGCAAACACAGATATGAATGAAATTAAGAAAACATGTATATGTAATCAATCAAAAAATGTTGTAACAAAAATTACTTTACTTTCAATGTTAATCAGACAAAATGTATGACATTTAAATGCTCAAATCAACACTTGAAAAGGACTCAATAATGTATAATGCACTGCATGTATCTCCTTGATATTATCAGAATTAACGAACACATATTTTGATATGGAAATGCTTATATTTATTTTCAATTAAATATTTAAAACTGCATTGGGGCACTGTCATTACTCGTGATTTGTCATTTGATTGTATTTTCGGCTTTTTAGATAGAAAATAAGCTACACCATTTTCCTTAAAAATATTCAGGGTATTGCATGTAAAATAGAACTTTATTTGATAGCATTGTTCCAAAACACTTTATAATGGACCATACAGTTTTTGTATATAACGTGTTTTTCTAACAGGCCATACAAAAAAATAGAGGCAATTAAATCACCCGTTATAAACGACCTACATCTTTAAAAATGATTTGACTCACCGTATCTATCTCCAATTCATAATGTTCGACCTCTTTGGTGACAGTCTCTATTTCTTGACGCATCTTTTGTATCTCCGCCTGTTTTCCGGCGATGCTCGTTTTTAATTCTCGCTTCATATCAATATTTTCTTGCAGCTGTGCCTTTAAATAAAATATACACTCGCTCTCAGTCTACTCTTATCTACGAACGACAACCATTTCAATTCTTTAGATTATCCATAAAAACAATGTATAACAAACCTGTTTATAGCATCAAAACTTTTGGATAGGAAACATTTATTGATGAAAACTGATAGCTGTTTATAAAAATTATGAACGTGGTACCATACATGAAAATAAAGGAACACTAACAGCAACACTAAAGAAAAAATAATATTGAGATTATGTATGTTTGAATGTCCCAAATTGTATCATAATATACGCACGAATTTATGACGAAATAGAATATATCACTGTTAAAAAATGAGTTGAAATTGAATACAGATACAAATATATGATTCGTAAAAATTTTGAAATTTAAATATTAGCCCGGCAAAGGTCTGACGATTTTTAAGAAAATCATCAAATCGGTAATTTTTACTCAAAAACAAATTTATTGCCGGACTCGGGTTCACAATGAAATAACGTTTGTCACAATTAAGTGTGGAAAACGACGTTAGTCATTTGGTGACTGTTTTTGACGTCCTTGAAAGTTCTTTTTACGTGTGGTCTCATAAATACCTAAAAATCTTATATGGAAACTTTTTTCGTTCCTAAAAGCACCTTAGATTGCATTCAAAAAACACGTTTTCTCATCGTTTGTTGTCAAATAAAAAGTTTTCCCGCAAAAACTGGTGTACGCATTTTATGCGTCCATGTTTGTTATTTATCTTGACTTGAAATGATCGAATAAACTTTCTATATACACTTACTTTTGTTGCAGATATATCTGCTATCAATTGACGTTCGACCGTATCCTTCATTTGTAACATCTCTTCAAGTTGTTCGAAATAGGATTTGCTGTGGAAGCCGTTTTCCGGTAGCAACAGCTGATTGAGATTCGGCATTTTTATTATGACCTTCATCAGACTCATGTTCCATTTTATTACCATATCGCGATTCTAAAACAAAAATTATAGTAAATTCCCTTTCACGGACTCCTCCTTTAAACACAATAAATAGTTCTCCTAACCGGACAAAAAACAAGATAAAAAGAAACGCATAGTCTTATTCCGATTCTCTGGGACATTCTACATTCAGCGCTTCTTCTGGTTGGCTCAATAAATTTAGAACTCGCCACAATATAAGTTTGAGGCGAATTCGGTTAATGCTGAAGATGTTTCATCGTTTTGAGAATTTACAAAGGTCATGCCACCTTAGGTTCTCTTCAGAAGACAAATTTGAACCAATATGAGTCATGATCGGCCTTCAATAATATGAAAATGACCACTTTTGGTTCAAGATATCGAAAATTGGGTCCAAAGGCAGAGCCGACCAATTTTAGGGCCCGAGTACAAAATTCCATTCGTAGCGGGTTAGGCTGCTTCATCTCCTGTACTAATAAAAATAATTTTGTGCAATTTTCGATGCGGGAGGCGTTCGAATTGTCAACCCAAGAAATCAGTAAAAAATTCCGAAAAAATAATTTTGATTAAAATATCTACAGAACGCAATTTGGAGGTAATTATGATGCCCAATGATTCCCAATGACAGGGGTAGCAAGAAAATGGAGAAGTTACCACTCAACCAAGGACCCTGAAAAAAAAAGTTGAGCCCGATCAGTTGGTGTAATTTTAGTTTTCAGTTTTCACTAACTTTCTTACCGTAATTCGTTCTTCATCCAACTTTAAATCATACTCTTCCTTGATCTCCCTGGCATGTTTCACTTTGGCAGCTTTTATATCGATTTTGTTGTTCAACACATCAATTTCTTTTTTCAAATTTTCTAATTCCTCGACAGTGCACGGTTGCGCTTTTATTTCTACCTCCAGCTTGGCGATATGTTCGTCGAGTTCTTTTTTCAATGCGGGCAGTTTTTCAATTGCTTTGTTTACGTCTTCGAGATCTTCTCTCGTTTTTGTAGTATCTGTTTCTATACTTTTTTCGATTTCCAAAATTTTAGCGTCGATGTCCTTGTTTGCTTTCAATATATCCTGTAAAATGATATTATTCAAAAAATAATTAAACGTCGCAGTCGTGGGCGAACTTTTCCTGCTGGATTTTTTTTCAAAATTACGTTTGTTGGACACATTTGTTTTAAAGAAATTACAAAAAATCGTCCAAGGTGTTTTTGGATCTTTTGGTACTCAGTAACTTTTCTCTAAAGTCGACTGTAGGTAGATAAAGATGCTTTATTCAAAATACAATTATTGTTAATAACAAAGCTAACTCAAATCTAAACAAAATTACATAATCTCACATCTTTCTCTTTGGACAGCTTGTCAAGTTCTTCATCCTGCGCCTCCGCCATTTTTCTCTTTTCCTCGATATCACTTTTAAGCCACTCAATTCTATCCAAATCTACGCCCAATAAGTTGGCAATCATCCTAGGATATTCACTGGCCAGCTGTTCATCTTCCGCATTAAAATCGCCATTGAAAATTCTATATTCCCTCAAAATATGTTCTTCGCAGAGCTAAAATCAACGAGTATAATCATTGGATTGATTGCCCGAATAGGCAAAATCTTCAAGAAGAAAAAATTGAATACAGAAATAAAATAAAAGCTCAAAAATTATTTTATATATACTAATTATTTATTAAATTTTGATAAAAACTTGTAAGCATATCTGCTATCAGGGAAGTATTAGCTGATAAAATGTTGAAGGCACTCTTTTAATCGCTTTCTATTTATCAGTAAACATAAAAGTTCTAAAAGTAAATATTTCCTGTATCTTTGGGCATCCCACAGGGATCTGAGTTGGGGCTATTAATATTTATTCCTTTTGTGGACGATCTCTGCAAACAGGTAAACGCTGGAAAGGTGAAGATTGAAAAGGAGATTTGTAAAGATGAGGAGTTCTGAACGCTTACCTTATATCTCTTGTAATTTAACTCTTCATCGGCAGTCGTAAAACACCTAGGAACCTCCTCAAACGGATCCCGTCTTTGCAAATTCACTTTATCAATAAAAAATGCGAAAACTGTTATAATTTGCGGCCAGGTACGCATGACATTGACTGTAAAAAAATTGATCAAGTATAGCGGGTGGATATTCTTTTTAGAAATTATTAAAGACACTCACAAAAGTCTTGATTAAATGTCATGATATTGTTGGCCACTTTACGTCACTTTTGAGAAAGATAATCCTATGCTACATTTAATGTTTCAAATTTAAATTTTAAGGGAGCAAGTTTTGTCTTATTAAGATTGAAAATTAAGTGATTTTTGGATCGATGTTTGTCTTAATTTCATTTATATCTGTCTCGCCAAGTGAGTTTACCAATTATGTTCATTGCTATAGACTATAAAAGAAAATTGGAAAACCTTTGCTGTTTCAAATTACCTGTTTTCAAAGTAGATATTGGTATCGACCCAGAGAACTTAAGCACTTTCAGCATATCAACGATGACTTCTTTATAATTCTCCTGGTTTATTTTTAGTCCAGGGAACAATTCGACCAGTAGAGTTTCAATAACATGTATGAACTGTTTAATGGTAGGAGGTTTCAAATTCGGCACTGGATGATTGAAAACATTGTTTTCTATTATGAAATATTTCACTTTTTGGTATTGTTCGTCTACCCATCTCGTGTCAGCGACTAGTTGGTGGACTGTCTTTTTTTCTCTATAGGCTGATCCTGGGCTCTGCAATTAAAAAAACTAATAATTAAGTAAGTAAGTTTTGGACGGAGCTCAGCAGGATGTCCATGGAAATCTTTAATCGCTTTAAGTAATCATAAAAAACACTCTTTTCCATTGGTCTGTCTATTAAAACTACTGACCTTTCTTCTACTGCTACCTCCTGCAGATGACGGTACTGACAAAGTGGAAGCTCTGTTAAACAAAGGTGTCAGTCTCGATATTCTACTTAGACTAGGCTTCCTCTCCAGTGATGGTTTTCTTTCTTGAGATGGTTTTCTATGTCTGTCGACAGATCCTAACACACTATCTCTAAAATATGAAATCGTAATTCATTTCATAATATATCTTATAATAGGGTTCGAATTCAGGACCTTGGCTTTTTTGCTCTTTGCTAATGATGTAATACTATAATAATGTTGTTTTGGTATGGACCCGGCATTAGTATTGTCCCGTAGACGGTTTCATTAATATTGTTGGGCAATGAACGCTTTTATTATTATTATACCAGCAAAAGATTATTAAATCTGTAACCATATACAATCGATGACATTTTCAACACAAATTTGACTATGCTATTTGTATCAAAAGTGGTTTAGAGCATTTCTATTTATTTGCAAATTAATAACTCTTGACTTCTGCTCATGATATTGCTAAAGTGTTACCTGTTACAAGAACTGGCCCTCTGTGGTTTGGAGATGGACGTACGAGATCCAAATAAGTTCGTAGCACCTTTTGAAGGGACAGGGATATTTGTATTGCTTCTAGATCTCTTCATCTTTGTTGGACGTAGTTCAATCAAGACGATTCACACAAATTAAACTTTACACACAACGTTCGGTTTCGTATTTCGTTTCCTACAAATGTTTAAAAATATGACACATGACAGTGCTAAATTGACACTAATGCACGTTGACTTTGCGATGTTGCCTTTTAATCAAAGACATACGTTTTTGTTCCTTCAAGATATTCAGACATCGAATGACTAAGCCCATCTCTATACCTGGTGCTTGAGGTGCAATCATGGTTGCCTAGCCGTCATGTTCATGTTGATTCTTTCAAGTAATGTTTTGTGAAAATAAAGCAATGTTTTGCAAAATGTGAAACGTTTAAGCAGCTCTAAACTATAAATAACTAATAAAAATATCGTATACAACCATAGCTATGCATTGAAAAATTGTCTTACGCAGTTCTTGTATAAATTAATCCATTCACTAGGTACCCATGCATTCCAAAAAGCTTTATTAGGTATGAGAATGTATGAGACTGAAAGTATTAGATAACATGTTCCATGTGAGCAGATTGTTAATAACGATTTACTGTTGCTTATGCATAGTGACATAATCTAGGTTGTTAAAATTTCCGTCATTGTAACCCAATTCCATCGTGTTTTGATAATCATGTTAAAACGATTAGCAGTTTCGTATGGTGTCGGTGATGCTGTCGCTGTTTCCTTTCGATATACCTACGATGTATTGGTGAATTGGCGTCATCAATGATATGGTGAAAGTCCTTATACGTTTCTAAGCGGGTTACCTAAAGTCTGTTATTAAAAAATTCTGACGAGAGATCGCTGTGAAAAATGAATATATCGAAAGTAGTTGGGACTTTGCAGATACTGGTTCATATAAAATATGGTGTTCTCTAAACTTGGGACAAATAAACATTTTCGCATTGTTTTTCTCATATTGAAATATGGTCGAGAAGGGTAGAATAGGGAATAAGGTGGATATGCCTCTGGTCAGACAGTTTAGACAAAACTGGAATAAAAAGTGTAATTACGAATTTTGTGTTCAGGATAACGTCCCGTTAATTATGGACCTAATTAACATATGTCACATGTGGTAATTTTACATGTTTTAATATGTTCAATACGTACGGGAACACCTTAGGAAAATTGTGAAAAAAGCCATAGACTTTTCTGTTCAGCCTTTAGAAAAAGACAAAAAGGAACGTAATGAGTGCGTTCCTAATACCCGTTTTAAAACAACCATTTCTTTACGAATTTATTCTGATGGATTTCAAGGTCATCCCGATTGTTTTGTCGTGTCTACATCAATGAACAAATTCATGGATTATGTTTTTTCGTTGCTAGAAACATTTTGAGTTTTTATATTATGTATTGTGTGGTTTTTATTGGTGAATGTCATAAACAGAAACCAGTATTGTTGAATACAGTAGTTCTATCAAAGATCTATCCTTGAATTGAAAAGTTGTTCAATATAATGGAAACGAAAAGAAGGTTGGCCAATTTCGTGAAGAAGTCCACGAAGAACTTCATGGATTTGTTTGATGTCAAATTCCTGTTTTATACATTCGAAATTTGGTTATGAATTCAATTCGTGAAGAAATCCGAGGATTTATTGGTAATGTAAATCGGATAGAAGAAAAACATCGGTCTGTCGAAGAATGAAGGCAAATAAGAGCGAATTATCGAAAAATATACGAAGCAAAATTAAGTCATAGTACTATTAATTTTGATGTTACATAACAAAAGTGTTAACTTTCACTTCCAAGGTCACATTTTTTATACGGTCGGTCAATAATACCTAAAGAGGATGCGGTACCCTTCTTGGTTCTTACGGTGAAAGTGAAAACAAAAATACACATTTCGTACGGATGAAATAATCTTAAGACCGTCTCATGTTACATAATGTTACACGCTGTTTCGGGAAAAAATCGAATGCTTTGTAATGCTGGATATATTTTACCATGCTTGCGGTTACCATTTTGCTTAACTTCGGATATTGAAATTTGTTGTAAGTCGACATTGCCAGTAGGGAAGGGAAATAATGACTATGGACTAATTATATGAACCCGTTTGACTAACTTGATCCGGTTAATGTGATACATATTCGTACTTAAGTGTCAATGAACATGTTGAAGCTGGAGCTGTCTGAATTATTTTAAGAAATCGTAGAAAATCAGCACGTTTTTGGTCTTTGTTAGACTAAGGTCCCATTTCTGTAGAAATACTTAAAAATCTGCAAGTTCGGCAACACTGGGGTCACAGTTCTGACACAGCATATCCAGTAATACATAGAAGTGCATTTTTTGACTATAGTTTTGTTCAAGTATTGACTTCTAGTATTGAACCAGAACCGTTTGATTTACCATTTGATATGCTTCAATACGCATGTGCCACACGATCCCGGAACAGGCTCTGAAAAAGCTGAGACGGGCAATCCAAAATCGTTGGGAGAAACTCATCAAGCGTAAGACTGCAATACAGCAATGCGTCTCACAACAAACATCGTCAATTTTTCAGAAGCATTTGAATACACCGCGCGATTTCTCTTGCGAGCGACTGTACGTCGTATCGACGTCATATCTACCTCAAATAGACGTCATTTCTTCGTCATACAGACGTCATATCGACCATTTGGTCTTTTATACGATATACTATGACGTCAATTGGGTGTGACATTAGACCGTCATCATGACGTCATTTCTACGTCATTTTTGTTGGTAGGCGTACGTCAGTAGTACCGTAAGAATGCCGACATTAAAACGTCATTATCTTTAGTGGAAATCCTTTATGAACTGAGGATGGCGTTGATGACATCTCTATATTTGTATAGACGCTTAGAAAAAAAAAATATAGAAAAGTTATAGGTACAATTTAATATAAGGTTTTCCAAGCAGTCTTTTTGTCATGTTTTAAAAAAATCATTTCTACTCAATAGGACTTTTCGGAGACAAAAACGACGTAGCGTGGGAATCGTTATAGTTCCTATGATTTTTATACTTTTTTCTAAACCGTCTTATAAACAAGCTAGAGAGAAGTCAATGTATACGAAACAAAAATGGCATAGTATGAGTAGTTTGCGTGTAAATTACGGTGCAAAAATTTATATACAGTCAAACGTTGATCTCTATGATTAAAGCGTGTGGTTACCGTAACCTCCGAAGTACGAAATGGCTATTGAATATAATATGGCCGTGCTGCGGTAAATTATTGTTTTTACTTGTTTATGCCGCGTATATACAATGACCAACAAGCTATTAAGATCTGATATGTGATTACACAGATATTAACAATAAATAATTTATATTATTCAGTTCAGTTCTGTTGGAATCACACTGATATATGTGTGGACGATTTTTGTGTTTTTCAAATCTATTCTATAGAGGATTAAATTTGAAGGTAGGGTTTTGAAAAAAAAATAATCTTTGAGCCATTATTGCAATTTTTGTAGATCCTTCTCATACAACGTTTATCGGCTGTATAATCTAATTCCTAATGTCTTGAAAATTCTTCAACCAAACCAGTTTAAAATAAAATATAAACAAAATATTTTTGAAAAACACTAATGTAAATGAGGCACAACTGATCAAACTAATAAGACTTTGTTTTTTGTATTATCACTCACATTTTTTTTGGCTTTCTAAGGTAGATATTTTTTTAATAAAAGTGTAATAGCTACAGGGCTGCACTTAGATCATTGTTAAATGCTTTCAGCCCTTTTTGTTTGTTTGTTGTTGATTTATTTATCACTTTTGCATAATCATTCGTTTACACATTTTTTAAATCCATTTTTTGTAATTTTACATTCTTGACTATTAAAATTACATCACTATGCATTTTGAGTATCCATAAAGTGATTTTCTAATTTCACCTTAAACATTTTTAAATTCGTACACTGTTTGATATCATTATTCAATTGATTAAATTCTAATGCTCCCTTTGGAAATACAGATTTGCTGGTTATGTTACTATTAAAATTTTGCAGATGAACATTTTATTTTATTGGTGTTTAATTTTATTAACTATGAAGTTTACGGAATTGATATGTTTTTTCAAGATTTATAATTATTCGAGAAATTAATTTTACAGGTTTCGGGTTTTCTTGAATTGCCAAAAATTGTTAACAAAATAAATCAAAAACCTATTACAAAGTTTGGAAAATTTTTAAATATTTAAAATGTCAGAGTTATCACTTATATAAATAATAAATAGTAACGGCCCTAATTTACGCCTCTGTGGTACCCCTACTGACAAATTTTGAACGCTTGACATAATATAATATTTCGAACTTTAGTTTTTGACTTCTATTTACAAAATAATTAATAAAATGTTAAATACTGTTTCTTTAAGACCATAGTAATGAAATTTCATTAACAATTTTCTCCTATCTACGAGTATAGTCTAAAATGTCCTTTTCAATACTGTTCCAATACAATCTTTCTCATCTATACTTCTTCTCTAGTTTTCCTCCACCATTTGGATTGTTGTTTGTGTAGAATATGTGTTTCTAATCGGCTGCATATTTGTATATAGCTCAGAATGTCGAACTTTTGGCCCAGGAGTGATGGTGGAACAATTCAATTCTGATGGGAATTCACCATGATTCACCAATAATAATAATTTCTCTCCAATTATATTGAAACAATCATTTAGAACCTTTTTTGAGAGAATCTCACTTGGACTTTTACTAGATTTCAGTTCTGAGATATCTTTTCTCAGATTGTTGATGTTTATTATCCTAAATTGATTCATTGATGAATAATGATACGCTTTTAATGAACATAAGTTGGGATAACCGTCATCAATCGTCTTCACTATCTGGTTTACACTTTCTATAAAATAAATGTTCATTCTTTCTGCTATCATTAATTTGTCTGCCACTACCCCATCTTCGAAACGCATTTTAGATAATTTAGTCTTTCGATTAGGAGAAAAAATATTCTTTAATGTTTTCCACACCATTTTAGAATTATTTTTATTGCTGTCGATCTTATTATCATAGTACTTTTTTCTTTTCTCTCCTAAGAACTGCTACACACTCACTTGTGATTTTAGATAATTTAGTCTTTCGATTAGGAGAAAAAATATTCTTTAATGTTTTCCACACCATTTTAGAATTATTTTTATTGCTGTCGATCTTATTATCATAGAATTTTTTTCTTATCTCTCCTAAGAACTGCTACACACTCACGTCTTCATTTTGTATATAGTTTCCAATCATTTTCACTTTGGGTTATCAAAAATTGTCTGTAGTCGTCATCGCGTTTCAATTTAGACTCCATTTGTAACATGCTTCATTTATGCATTTTGCTGCAATGTACTTTTCACTCAAAACTCTATGTTAAAAATAAACATTATTATTATTATCACCAATGGTTGAAAATCTCAATTGGTACTACAGAATATTCAGATAAGAGATAGACCGGATGTAAACAAAAGGTTCGGGTGATTTTCACGCTAACGCCGCCGTCTCGACGTAAAACAGGAGCCCTCATTGGTGAATTCGCAATTAAATGCCTATGCCGAGCGGCAGAGCAGTCGTATCAAGGCAGAGTCACATTCAGGTTCAGACGTGTTACGTATGTCGTGTGCATCATTGCAATTTGATATTTCTTTGGACGTTTTCGTTTGTTATCTTATTAAGTTGTTGA